GACACAGCCTGGATCCGCCCCTACACCGTACGGGGCTGCGGGGGGCACAGCCCTTTAGCGCCTGGTGGTGGCGGGGGCGGGGGCGGGGAAGCTCGCGGATCCGGTAGCATTTCTGCGGCCTCGGGGCTCGGGGGCTCCAGGGCGCTGGCGAGCGCTCCAGGCCCTACCTACTCCCCGTGCAGCTCGAGCAGCCCGGGCTCGGGAGAGAGAGAGAGCGAGAGAGAGAGACGCCAATTATCGCACTAATTACACGGCTAGAACACAGCCCCCTTCCCCCACTCCAACCCCACCCAGCCACCTTTCACCGACTGCATGGAACCTATAGGCATCCCCACAACGCTCGTCTGGCCTTCCTCACCCTCCCACCCCGAGCCGCACTGACTGCACTGACCTACGCCCTGGGAGGGCCTGGGAGGGCCTGGAGGATCGGGATAGGCAACCCGTTGCACAGCCGCGGGGTAGAGTTTTGGCCGCCATCGGTCTTCTGGCCCACTGTGCGCCGCACCTGTCCAGGCCTTGGGCCCTTCGGTGTGCATGGCTAGCGCCATGGCTAGCGCCATGGCTAGCGCGGGCCAGCGTGCGGCAGCGCCACAAGCGGCTCCGTTTCAAGCCTTGTCTGTGTTTGCGATCTTGACCCGCGGATCGCTGGCGCCCCTCCCCCCTCCCCCCCCCCCGGCCCCTCCATTCGGCAATTGCAGCGTCCTCTTCATTACACTAATTGCTGTGTACGACAGAGGGCCGCGCGGCGGTGGCGGCGGGGGTCAAAAACTCGCGGTGGGCTGGGCCTCCGCCTGCTTCCTGCTGCCACCCTGGCGCTGCACGGCGGTGCACTGCGATACTACTCGGCCTCCTACCGGTCTGTCTCAGTGTCTCCAACCCTTCCCACACCGGTTCAAACAGAGTAGGGGTTGCGGCAGCGCTGGTCTCTCACCGTCGACAAGGTGAGCAGAACGTATTCGAGTTCGAAGCCGACGCCGCTCAAAACCCGCGCCTTTTTTCCGGGCACTTGACCCCGCCACGCCGCGCCATAGTCCATAGTTCGGCGGCGCGTGCAGCGTGCACTACACCATGCACTGCACCCTCTCCACGAGCGGGGCGAGCGGCCGTGCGATGCTCGCTCTATGATCTCCGATGAGAGGGCGCGAAACGCAAAACGCGCATCCACGCACTACTCCCTTTATTTCTGCCCCTCTAAAAGCCGCTGCCTTTTCCGAGGGGGAAACTTTATTCGACCCCGGCTCGTCCGGCCGCACCGCCGCGCCGCCGCGCACTATGCACTGCACTGCAGCGAGTGCAGGCCCCACACTGCTAAACTGCACCACAAAGGGACGTACGAGTGTTTAGTGGTGTTCACTGTTCGGTGCGTCGAGGACGGCCTGTGCGGCGTACAGAGCGAGAGGTCGAACCGTCGAGCAGGTCTGCATCGAGGGACCTACCGCCCTCGCCGCTCTGTCTCCCTCGCACCCCTTCGGACCGCTCCGCGAGTGCGAGAGAGGCGAGAGAGGCAGAGGCCGCGGACAGAACGGCTTCATTATTCCCTTCCTTCCCAGACGACTTGGCTCGACTTGGCGGCGCGGCGAGGCCTGCAAGGCCGGCAAAGCAGACAAGGCAACACAATAGTTGGGCTTTCTTTCAAATAACCGGGCCGTTAATTACGCCGGCCACGTTAAGATGCGGGCGTGATACGCCGCGTCGCTCTGTCTCTCTCGCACCCCCGCGTGCCCCGCGGCGTGGCTGTGAGTGCGAGAGAGACGCCGCGACGAAAGCCCTGCAGGCCGGGCAGGCTCGCGCCTATGAGATGCACGCGGTGCTGCTGGCGGTGCTGCCTTAGTGCCTTCGGGACTAATGAGACTGAATTATGGGATAGGCCGCGCGGGGACTGCACTGGATTCCGCTGGACTCGGCCGAGCAGTGGCCAAGCAGTGGCCAAGCAGTGGCCACGCAAAGACACCCGAAACACTGAATGGCCAAACGGCGCATGAGTTAGCCCGGGCGCGACGGCGCCCCTGCGAGACAGGCGAGAGGGAGAGAGACAGAGCATCCCGCGGGAAAGGGGAGGGGGAGAGCTGATCCTGATCCACGTCTCGTTACTGCCGAGCGATTCCGAAGACTCGTCGTTTGGTCGCTCCGTCTCTCTCGCACTCCGCGGCAGGCCCGGGCAGGCCCCGTGAGCGCGACAGAGACGGAGCGACGAATCGCCTCTCCGTCGGCAGGCTAATTAAACGGGTGCAGGCGTATTTCCGCTGCGATCTGCCCCCTTCCGCCCCGCCTACCCCTTTCCCAGCCATCAACTCGATCAGCCAACCCCCCCCCCTCTTTCCCCCCGAACCTGTGGCCCCGGCGGCCCCGGCGGCGGCCCTGGTCCCTGGTCGGCACGCTGACGAGGCAGTGGGCCACGCGGGCCGCGCTGCAATGTTATGAAGAATGCAACCAATTGACAAGCAGAGGCCTCCCTCCCTCGCTCCGCGCGATAATTAATTCGTTAGTCGAAAATAATGAGAATGACCAAGCGCGACGAGGGCCTCGCCCTGGAGCTCCCCGTCGTCGTTGCCTCGGATTTTCATCCCCCTCATCAAGCGGTGCCGCGGAGCACCCCGACGACCCGAGGAGGCGCCCCGCCGCCGCGCCGCCCCACGCTCAGCCGTTGGCCCCTTTGGCCCTGGACCTCAAACTTCAAGTACGGACGACGCCCCAAATTTTTGACAGTGCCGGGCACATGTAGTGCATGCGCTCCCCATTGCCGTTGTTGTTTCCAACGAATTTCGGCCAGTCTTCATCCTTCTCGGCCCAGCGCCGCCCAGCGCGTGGCGTTTAAAACTAAAACAGGCGCATGAATATTTAAAGCGGTCGCTCCGTGCGGCGCGCGGTATGGCGGCGCGGTGGTGGCGCTGCAGACGGAAAGAGGGGACTCGGACGCAGCTCAGTCTAAAGCAGTCTAAAGGGGATTGTTTGTAAACACGCGTTGCCAGGCAACGGCGGCGCACGGCGCGGCACGGCACGGCGCGGCACGCCCCCCACCCACACGCCTCGTCCGATAAACCGGTGCTCTTATCGCCGGCATCGCTTTGGCCGCCGCCGATTTTCCTTTTAATGTGGATTTCTCGAGGACAGGGACGGTAACGCCACTGTGGGCAACCTTATCGGCGGACTGGTTCCGAACGGTGGCTTCGTCGATCCGTCTCTGACGCACTCAGGGCGCGTCCTGTCGGGGTGCGACGGAGACGGCGCGACGAAAAGAGTTTTCTGAATCACTTGGCTGTCACCTTGTGGACTCTATAGAAACACCCCGACGCAGAAAAATACACGTGAAAATTGGCAATCATGCCCGCTCAAATCCCGCGGTCCAAGGTGAACAAATAAATGGTATTTCCCACCCAGCTAAGACAACAACAGCCCTCTTCTCCCACTCCCTCCCCAACCACCCCAACCCCCTCTCCACCCTGTTGACCATCACTTAGGACCTCTTAAATTGGCAAACAGCGTGTAATCAATGGTTTCCTACAGGTGAGGCGGGAGGGGCGGGGTGGCGCCGCCTTGGGTGGGACAGCGCGCAGGTGGAGTCCGGCAAGCAGCAGCACCCGCAGCACCGGGGATAAAGAAGGGTTACGGGGAGTCCCGCAAGAAGCTCCAGCAAAGGCCCCTCGCTTCGCTCGCTTCGACGAGGCCTGGACGCGAGACCTGCCTGCCTGGAGGCTCCAGGCCGTCCAGGCCCCCGCAAAGGCGGCGGTGGCGGTCTCCAGGTGACGCTGTCGAGGACCCAAGAAAGGAGAAGACCCTGCGGGTTGGACACAAGAGACGCCCGGGCCGGTTAAGTCCCGTCAGGACCTTGGCAGCTCTTGGTAGCAGCCCTCGGTGGCCGACCCGCCCGGCCCGGCCGGTGTGGCGGTGTGGCCCTTCAAGGGGCCAAGCCGGGCCAACCAGGGTACGGTAGGTAACGGAGCGCCCTTAGAAATCCGGCCCGCGAACGCGTCACGCCGCATGGGGCGTTACAACGCCACCCTGCCGACAACGGTGGCGGCGTATTCGCAGGACTGCCAATGAAAACCCCGGCCTGCGGATACCTCGTGCTGCTTGAGCTGCCTCCGGCTGCCTCGTGCTGGGGGCTGCGGATTATCGCTGCTGCAAGGGTTGCGACAGCGCGGGCGGCGGCGGCGCCACGTCATGCCCCCATCTCCGTGCCGCGTGTCCTGGGAACGCCCCGCCCCGCCCCGCCCCGCCACGGTGCGCCATTGTTCGCTGAATTCAGGCAATTAGTGGCTCTGAAAGGCTCGTTACCGTAATATTGAACGCGGCCTCCTCCGTCCCGTCGGCCCCGTCCCCGGGGGGCTCGGAGGGCGCGGGGAGGGCGGGGACGGGCCGCGTCCGGGGCGGCAGCGGCGTCGCGCCCCTACCGCGGTCGCTGTCGGCCTGGCCCAGCCTGGCCGTCGGGTCGGGGCGGCCGGGTGGTGCAGGGGCGGTGTGGCGTCGCGGACAAGGACGGCCAGGGACCACGGGCGCGCTTCGGGACGCGTCCCCGAGACGCGTAGCGCGTAGCTCGCCCCTGTTAGTCCAGTGGAGAGGCAGGAGGGGCGGGGGCGCTCGGAAACTTGTCCTGCAACTTTCTCCAAATTGAAACCCACCGCTTGGCGCCCCTGTTAGAGCTTGAGCCAGCGCGCCGCGCGTTGCGACCCCGCCGCGTCACGGCCCAGGGGTGCGTTGTGCGCTCTAGAGCCCCTCGTGGGGCCCCACTAGGCTAGGCCCCACAGCATCGGTATCGGCCAGTGGCCACTGTGTCCACGCCCCGGGCCTCAAACTGGCTGGGATGGGAATGGGAGATTGAGCAGGCAGGGCTCAGGGCAGGGCCTGGCCACCAACGGCCCTTCATATCTTAGAATTTTTCAACAGGTTTTCTCGCCCATCGTCAAATTGAATCAAAAATGAAATTAATCAATAATATCTTTGTTTTGTTCAGTTCAGCATTGGTTTGGCACAGGTACTGGGTAAAAAATAAAAGACATGAAATTTTTGACACAAAGTGTATTTCAGTCATGATTTGTTTTACGGAATGAGTTGAAAAGTGAAGCAAAACATAAAGAAACAGGTCGTAACAAATACAGAGAGATAGTCATAACAATTCATACAAAGGAGAACTATGTGATTTGATTCACCAAAAGGTGTGCAGAAATGCTTATGGTATTGCATTAATTAAAACACCAGGAAGTTTTTGACAGATAACAGGTGGCAGCTTTACAAATACAATTCAAAATCAACCCTCTTAATTGAGTAAAATTCACTTTCCCCATCGGTTCTTACTTTCCTCACCCACTCATCCCCCTTGAAGTGCCCCTCATCTAACCACTTCTGCATCTGTTCTGAGTTATGAGGACCGTTGATCTTGTCATCATCTTTCTTCCATTTGTATTCCCATGTTACTTCAGGTTCTGAAAAAAAAAATTCAACCAGTGCATCAAAACATACGAAACGTTTTGGAATACAATGCTTAAGCATTAAAAAAGAAAAGAAAAGAAAACCTTGAAGTTACTCTACCTTTACTGTATTCTCCATCTTCCTGACTGGCTTTTAAGTTAGATTCTGCTGTTGCTGCCGCTTCTTCCTTGCGGACTTTCTGTTCCTTTGCTTTTGTGTCAAAGTCATCTGCATACATGTCCAGTTCAGCTTCCACAGCCTTAGTTGGTTGTATCTTCTCTTTATTTTCAAAGGTTGAGATCTGAAACAGCAAATCAAAGTTATTAGTTTTGGCATGAAGAACATTTTAAAAGTACAGTTATCTAAATTAGAAAGCCAAATAAAATTATGTACCTGTTGTGAAATATATTCATACGTTTCTTGATAAATATCCATGTTACCAGTCCTACTTAAAATGCGATTTGCTATCTCTGAAAGATCTGTTACTGCCTGCTTGTCACCAGGATTACCAAGGTCCAGCCCTGCTTTCTTTCGGCGCAATCTTTCTGAGGCAGACAGGCTACCAGAACCACCTGAAAAAAGATTTGAATGAAAATCATAAGAAAAATAAATTTAATGTTGTAATATACAATTTAAACATTTTTTTTTTCTAAGAACAATGCCTTACCTAATCTTTGTAAAGCTCTTTTGACAGTTTCTTTAGGTTTCATAAACTCCAGAATCTTTTTGTAGCTGCCAATCTCATCAAAAGGTGACTCTGGAGGAGGATTTACTTCAGACAAATCAGCAGCAGAGGATTCTTCACCTTCAACACCTGTTTTGGCATTTTTTATCTAGGAGAAAGCAGAAAAGAGGTCAATATTGCAGTATAGATGTAATTTTCTTTTTCAAATGTTCTATGCTTTTCTTATGTTATTAAAAATTACTTACATTTACCCACTCCACATTTTCAAGCCAGTTGTCCCGAATCTCCTTATCTTTCTTCCAGTGGTAGTTCCCTTCTGTATCAAAGTGGCCTTCCTCCATCTCTTCATGCATGTTAAAAGGAGTGATGTGAACGCCACCTTCTTGAACAGCTAAACCCTCTTCCTGACCTAGAACACAAACAGTAAATCAGTGACGAAATATATCGAAACAAATATTAATCTGTGTGAGGACTACAGCACAGAAGAAACAGGGATCATCGCAACAGAAATACTAAAAGAGAAAGTTTCTAATTTAAATGAAGTAAAATGTTCTTTGAATTCAAACTATTTCTATCTTGTCAGTGCATTAGCCATTGTTAAGACATGAAGGGTGTCTAGCCAAGACCATCAGGGAGCCGGATAACCTCACTTAACGTTCTAAAAACGCACTGATAACCATGAAAACAAGAAAGACATACCCTCGATGTCGTCATCTGCAAGAATATCGTAATTCTTTTCGTCACCATCATCCTCCTCGTCGGAATCGAGAGAATTCTTTATAATTGCGGGTTCAGCCTTCTTTGGTCCATCTCCCGCCAGGTCCCTCTCCAAAATCTCCGCACTGGACATTTCATCGTACGTTCGCTTCGACATGATGGACGGCTAGAGCAGAACTACTGGCACAAAACTGGAGGCGATTCTTGGGGACTCGCACGTCAAAATCAATAAAGAAATGTGGAAAAACTCTATCAAAATAAACAACAGACTCCCTACTCCACAGGAGCATCAAAACATGTAGTCTGCTAGTGAAGGGGCTCCAACCCACACATAATTCAAGCACTTGATTTTATGGTTTTATGATCAATTCTGATGAATTCCTACTGTGAAATATTATTATCAATAGATTACGTGTAATATTTTGTCGTGAAAGTTCAATTCAGTTTCACAGGAAGCAAAGTTTGCTTCAGTTTCGAAGTTGCCGCACCTGATTTTGTATGGAAACTTTTTCATACCCGTGAACACATTGCGCGCGAAGCTCCGAATTCAAGAAATCAGTGACAGGTGGACGTGAAGGGTTTCTAAACCGAAAACAATCACTTCAAATCAATCATTTTATTTCCTAGTTGTAAATATCTTTAATTTATCTTACACTACATGACAGAAGGGCTGTCCTTTCCCCTCGGATGCTCAAATTCCATTTTTACTGTACAAAATCAACAATCACAGCAACATTCACAGCTCCGCTACTTGAAACGCGAAACAAGGCCCCGTTTGGCCCGTCAAAGCATCTTCGACATGTAGGGCCCGTCCAGTTCGTAGCCCATCTTTCGGTAGTAGTCGCGCGTGCCGACCCCTGGGGACAACCAAAAAGCAAGGAGGTAAATTAGCGAATCCCTTACAGGGTAGTTCCGAATAAAAACAGTGAAGCAACACAGCGGCTCACCGGAGATGACGGCGATCTTGGTGGAGCCGTGCTCCTCCCTGGCGATCCGCTCGGCCTCCTCCATGAGGAGCATGCCGAAGCCCTGGTGCTGGAAGCGCGTCGGGTCGCGGGCGTTGACGGGCACCACGCTGCCGTACACGTGCAGCTCGCGGACGATGGAGCACTGGCCGCCCACCAGCTCGGCCCGGAAGGTGGTTTCCGCGCAGCGTCGGAGGCGCAGCAGGCCCACGAGGATGTCCTGGGCCGGGTCCTCGTACGCCAGGAACGTCTCCCAGCCGCCGTTGGCCACGTAGTCTCGCCGCACCAGCTCCACCTAAGTCATTCACGTCAGCCGCTGCCATCAATAAATTTCAACGCGAAGAGGTGCCGTCATACGACACGTCATACGTAGAGCCCTATATAGGGCTCTTATTAGAGCTCTGAGGGCTCTTATATAGAGCCCTATATAGGGCTCTAGTCATACGTACCTCGTACGGCCGGATTTTGTGGTGGATCTCTTGGATGCCCACTTCCCTGGTTCGCACGTCGCGGCAATCCGTGCCGAGGTCCTTCATGCGAGCGAGCGCCAGTTCGCGCAAGTTGCCGTGCTCGACGCCCGAGCTGGAAGGGAAGACGAGCAGCGATTAGCAGGGACAAACATCTTTCTACATACATTTCAAGTCGCGGCCAAAACAAGGCGAAACGGAGAAGACCGGGCGAAACGAACGCAGCGAACCGGACGGAACCTCCTCCTTCCCCCTCCCCTCCCCCACCCACTATCTCTCTCGCACACCCATATTTGCACTGAGAACGGGAACGGGGAACACACCCGCACACGACCTCCCCGCCAAAATCCTCAACGTAGTCCTGCCTTTCAGTTTCACAGATAGTCAAGTGCACCTTCTCCGAGTCGTTTCAAGCGCTGCCGCCGAGCGCGCCCCGCGCAACACTGTGTGCAAAACGAAACAAACAAACAACACCACGCGCTGCAGTGGAGTGGGAGGGCCGTTCGCCGATTGGCGGCGTCGAGAAGGAAAACAACTTCTTGAACGCGCCACAAAATAAAATTCTACTAAAGAATAGGAGTTTCAGCCTAACGGCGTCTGAAATGACGCTGATGTAGCGCCTGCAACCCATTGTCCTTTCAGTTTAAGGTAGGGTGTTCATCAGGATTGTATCGAGAAATTGAGGTTAGTTTCCCTTTCGAGTGCCTTTGACTAACGAAATCCTTCTGAATTTCAGGTCCGCTGGAACTACCGTGGTCCCAATGGCGCAGAATAATCCTGAAATAATCGAGGTTCCTACCCCGCAATCTCGTCAAGTGAAAAGAAAGGGGAGTGATGCTGACCTCCACCGTAAAAGATTACGGACTGATGACAGCATGGACATAGAGGTAGTTCCAAAGGAGAATGAAGAAAAATATGCTACGAAAGAGGAGTTCAACATATGTATGGAGAGGATTTCAAAAATTGAGTCAAGGTTGGCCAAAATAGAGAAGACATTTGAAAGCCTAAAATCAGCATTTCTGGGGCCAAACCATCCATCAAGATCTGTGCCATCTTCTGTAAGTTCAGCTCCAGGCCCCTCTCGGCCACCTCCCAAATCATCCAACAGCGCTTCCACTTCTGTTGCAATGCCAGCTGAGGGGACACCCTCTTCTGCCACAAATTCATCAAAAGAAGCACCCCCCTCAGTAGCGCTGCCCGCCCCAACAACACACACTTCTCCTGCAATGTCAGCCCAGCAGACACCCCTCTCTTCTGCCGTAAAATCAGCCCAGCGGACTCCCCTAGCTTCTGCGGCAAGATCAATTCAAGGGACACCAAATTCTTCTGTTTCAAAGTCAGCCCAAGTGACACCCAATTCTTCTGTTTCAAAGTCAGCCCAAGTGACACCCAATTCTTCTGTTTCAAAGTCAGCCCAAGTGACACCCAGTGCTTCTGCTTCAAAGTCAGCCCAAGTTACACCCAATTCTTCTGCTTCAAAGTCAGCCCAAATGACACTGAATTCTTCTGCTTCAAAATCAGCCCATGTGTCCCCTATCTCCTCTGCTTCAAAATCAGCTCAAGGGACACCTGTTTCTTCTGCTGCAAAAACAGCCCAAGTGACTCCCATATCTTCTGCCGGAATATCAGCTCAAGTGACACCGATTTCTTCTGCTGGAAAACCAGCCCAAGTGACAGTGACACCCATTTCTTCTACCGCAAAATCAGTCATCCAGGTGACTCCTATTTCTTCTGCCGGAAAATCAGCCCAAGTGGCACCCATTTCTTCTGCTTCAAAACCAACCCAAAGGACACCACCTTCTGGCACAAAATCCTCCCAAGGAACATCTAATTCTGCTCAAAAGTCATTCATGGAGACAGCACCTTTGGGCAAGAAATCAACCCAAGGGATGCCCTCTATGGGCAATAAATCTGTGCAAGGACCATCCATTGGTGTTCGTCAAGCCCCTTCTGCCACAAACTCAGCGCAATCTGTGTCTTCCTCTGCATCAAATTTGATGCACCGGCCTGTTGTAAATTCGGTGCAGAGACAAAATGTAGAAACTATTGATGACGAAGTAACAGTTATACCAACTGATGATCCAGGAATAACAACTGTCTCAAACAGTTCTAATGCAAATATTCAGATCTCTTCGCGCTCTTCAGTAAGTGGTAACACTAGTGCTAAAACTACCAATGCAAAAGACCAACGTAACATTGGGCTGCCAAGGATTAACGTCATTCCTCAAAACGAATTATTAGCTGTTCATTCAGACCAACCCACTTCTGAGAGAAATCCGCATTCATACAACCAACAGAGGGCTGGATCTCTGGCAGCATCCAATGTTGCTCCACATCCAAGGTCGCAACAGCTCGCAAGCACTAGTTCATCATCAACCTCTGTAAGAGCTCAAACTTCGTCACATGAAGCAGCACAGAATAACATTAATGAATCATGGGCAAGTTCTAGTGCCTCTGACATGAATGACATGCCAGAAGAGGTATTCTGTCACATTCGTCCAAAGCAAGAAATATATGACAACCCAGAGAGTAGTACAATAGAAACTTCAACTAACAGACAGTTGGTGGCATACACAGATGGAGATTGCAGGAAAAAGAAGAATCATGATGTCTATGCAGCTGTTTGCGGTTACAGTTTGAATGGGTAAGGTTAAATTTGCTTCTCTCTTAGCTTCCTGAAGAAAATTTGGTCTATAACATTTTTGTTCTCGCGTTATTTTGTTTGCAGGACCAAAATTTACTGCGTTCCCTACATCAGCGATCTTCGACATCCATTCACACAAACTATGCCTGCTGTCAGAGCTAACAGGAAAATGGTAGAACTAGTCAAGCAACAAACAGAAGTTATGGCAGCTTATCTAGTCATCACAAATTTGGGAGGATCTGGTAACAAACAGTTGATTATCTTGGTAGTACTTGCCCTGCATTTCTCAGAGTTGTACAAGTAACTTTTGTCAACAATTTTTCCTTGCAGGTAATGATAGATTAAAAGTTGTTTCACGTTGTCAGAGGCTAGTTCAGATTATGAAAGGGTCTCTTGATGTGTACCCAGCGTTTAACACTTGCCAATGTGACCGATTCCCATGCAACCACCCACAGAGGTGGGAAACTTTAGATACCTTTGCTCATTTGCTCTCTGATGATTTACCCCGCCTTGTTTTGGCTACCAAGGGTGCCAGTGTCAATGTTGAATGGGTGAGTTTAGTATGAAGTTGCACTGCTTACAGTAAATAAATCCAGTAACTTCAAAAAATAATGTGGATATCTTAATTACATTTTCCAGTGCAACTATACACCATTTGATCAAGAAGAGAAAAAAATCACCGAGTCCCTCAAAAAAGAATTCAAGAAAAAAATATCTGAGCTCTTGAGCAGAACTACTCGCCGAAATGCAATGCTAATGTGAACTCAAAGATTTATTTAAGGTGAGACACATGCAGTCAAATGTATTTTAACAGTCTTTATGTAACTTAAGCTGCCTCATATTCCTATGCCATCTTTACTGATATCGCAAAGTATTTTATGGTATGTTAAAGGACTTTAAAATTTTATAATTTTAAAATAAATATTTATATTTATGTAGTTTAAGATTTGAAAATAAATAAATGTTAAAAAGCAAATTCTTACCTGACTAATGGCATGGGTATGTCTCGTTGTACCCGGTAAACACGAGTCCATGGAGGCACCAGAGCTAAGATCCGAGCAATAAGATCAACAAGTGTACCAGGAGGGTAACTCTTATAGCGACCGGTCTTCCAAAGCTCATAAAGTCCTGTTCCTCTGATGACAAGTGTTGGATAAATTTTCAGACCATCAGCTCTGAATGCAGGATTTTCAAAGAATTCCTGAGGGAAGATAGATATTAATTTTGCACTTACATAATTGACTGATTGCCTTATTTTTACAACCAACTTACAGTAAACTGCTCTACATCTCTTTCCAAATCAACATTTGGTAGGTCAGGCATCATATGAACAACCACTTTAAAACCAGCATCTTTTGCCAGTGAGAAACTCTCTGTTACAGCTCGTACAGTATGACCTCTGTTGGTATCTCTGGCCACATCTTCATAAACTGATTGGACTCCAATTTCCAAACGTGTACATCCATATCGTAGCATATCAGAAAGATGGGGCTTCAAACAATAGTCTGGTCTTGTCTCAATTGTTATACCTATGCATTTGACTCTGCTTTTCTCTGAGTACCTGTTAAATGGAAATTAATTTTTTAAGCAATGTTATCAGATTAATTTTAACATAATTTCTCATTTGTAGTGTAAATAACTTACTTTACTGCTTCTTCCACATTATTACTTGTGTGGCCTGAGAGTGCATCATGGAGATTCCTTATGAAAAAATCACGGTACTCTTTAGACAAACACATGAATGTCCCACCCATCACTATGAACTCCACTTTGTCAACACTGTGGCCCAACTGCTTCAACTGAACAGAAATAATTATTAATATTATGTTCCTATAATGTAAATAGACACAAAAATCAAGTAATTCCTTACTTGTTCCACCCGATGTCTAGTTTGTAAGTAAGGGTTGTAACGCGCCCTGATGGCTCGCATTGATGTTGGTTCATATCCTGTGTATGATTGAGTTGAATACTCAAAATCTGAGTCTGGTCCTCCAGGGCAGTACACACAAATATTTCCTGTCATATTTATGTGTGGACATCGATGTGGCTTACACATTACCGCTACCACAGCAATCTGAAGGTAAGAATAAATCTTGTAAGCACTGGAATGTTACATGTTATTTAACAAGAAAGCACATGTTTGGTATACTTACACCACTAGCAGTGCGAATAGGTTTTGCACGAAGTTTCGGGAGCAGTGTCTTTTTGCTCTCTAGAGGCACCGCCGCAATAATGTCAACTAATCGTGGGCTGCTTTCCAAGCCATATTTAGATGCTATTCTTGTTTTAAGTCGGTTCAAGTCTACATCACGTGATTCATTATGAGCACGTTGCAATTCCTGAATTATTTCTGCTACTGTTCGGACCATACGTTCCTGCTTTGACAGCTCCGCATCTGCATGACACATGACAATTAATAAAAGGACATGGGACAAAACAGTGTAAAGTAGGGAAAAATGACAAGCTCTATAGAAAAATAAGGTATTTTTTGAAAAAAAAAAGAAAAAAATGTATTATTTAATGGGTTGCAAACCCACAGGTGAAGGCATGTACAACTGAAGTCACAAAATACATATACCATGGGGTATCTTAACAGGAAGTGTAAATTATTATCGGTAAACGTACATTTTACAGGCTTCCCCATCTCGATTTCAGGAGAAGAATACGTCTATATCAAAACAACGCACATAACCAAACGCTTCACACAACATGAGTTCGTCATGAGTTTCATGAGCATCAGCGCAGTTTCTCATAGCACATGCCTCAGTCCAAATACGCCAACCTGCTGCAGTAAGTAACACTTCACGTCTGCTTTTCGAGCCAACCATGTCACGATCTTTTATTACAATAATTTAATTAAAAAAATGTTTTGCAGCAATTCACGTTTGTTTGTTTTCAGGATTTCTTCAATTTTTTTGATAGTTGGTGTGAACATTGAAATGCACTGTTGGCAGCATTCTTTCCTACGAATAGTGCCCCTCTGTTATTAACAGAGCGGTGGGAAAGGGGTGGGGATGAGCTGAACCTCATGGCTGATTTTTTTCAGCAGCGCTCCCGCTGTGTGGCTGCCTGCTGGGTAGTCAGAGTCCAGTGTGGTCTCTATCTCTGAGAGGTTGAGTTCGCCGATGGACCGAGTACTTCGTTTCGTGCGGCGTACTCGCTACTTGTGACAGAGAAGGTGTACGGTGCCAGCAGACCCTGCCCGTAGTTTGTCTGCAAAATCTCAAGGAGCCCAAAGTATGGTCATTACACACCCCAAAAGCTCACTGAAACCGCGTTAAAGTCCGATCAAAATGACAACCATGGAAACCAAGGAGAAAAGAGCATACAAAATTGTCCTGACAGGTGGTGAGTATGATGTTAAGTAGGTGCTTTGTCGTGCATTGTGGTGGGTATTTTTGTCATTCATTCAGACGTGCCATTTATTTTTAATTTTGTTGTTGCCTTTTTATTAAAGAGGTTCTTTTCCTTTCTATTGCTAATGTTGCGTATAGTTTGAATCTTTTATTAATGTTCTATCCTGCATCTGGGCTGTCAACCAAATTCATGATAAATTAGACATTTATAGGTGAATTCTATATTATCATGGTTCTGTCATTCTTTTGTCAAATTCATAGCCTGATGTACTGAAAAAGCCTCCCTCATGCTTATTTTTTCAAATTTTAATTTCGCTTAATTTGTCTTTATTATGTACATCTTTCAACTAAAGGACAAAAAAATACATGGTTTGTTGTAGGTCCTTGTGGAGGAAAAACTACTGGCCAGTCCCGTTTGTGCACTTTCTTCGAAAATCTTGGATGGAAGGTGAGCAAATTTAGACCTAAGAGTGTTGTAGACTATTCCCAAAAATTACTGAACTGACTAAATAACAAAAGTAAAATTCACAAACAATTAATCATTAATATGAAACATCGGCAATTTTATTTTGTTTGAACTATGAACATTATTCTCATGGTTATTTTGTTAATTATACAAGACCTTAGACTGTTTCAGTGTTGGATCAGATTGTTCCCTTTACTCACACTAATATCCCTTAAGCTCAAAGCTCAAAATTGGAAACATTCAGGAATGATGTTTTATTTTCTCATCATAGTTAACGGTTAAAGTTACTTGGGGTAGCTCTGTGTTTCTGTAAGATTAGAAATTTCAGAGGAAGAGAGAGCATGTCATTTCATAATTTTACTTCCAAGTAAATTAATTGTAATGTCTTTGAAACAGTTCATTGCTTATTAAATCTATTGTGGCTACTTGCTGCCAAAGTGTTTGTTTCAAGCCTTCAGTGTGCTTTGTAGCCTATGCAGTAGATGCGTGGCAGCATACACTCCTTGAAAGTAAGAGTTAACATTAAAATGAAACGCAGGTCCAGCAGCTTATCTGTGAAAGGACGGACCTGCTTTGTTGGTTTCTATATTTCCACTGGTGTGGTGCGTCTGCCCTGCTCCCCTAGAAACCTTCTCAGGGTACCTCTCTGCTGGGATGTACTCCTAGAGCGTTAGCATACCCTTAGGACACTTAGGTATTGTAGGTAGTTGCTTAGTGCTGTTCAGAGTGTGGACTGGTGTTGTCGTTTTGCAGGTGTTTCGCGTCCCGGAGACTGCCACGGTCCTGCTAAGGTACCTATACCTCATATCGTTCTCCTTTCCCCCCTTTTTTGAGCTCGGCGTTTTGTTGGCTTCCAACGCATCGCGCAAGCCCTTCTTGTTACTCTCGATAGAATTTTTTGAAAATTTTGTCTAAATCGGAACGAGCCACCTTCTTGTTGGACCGGAACTCGCGACATGAACGTCTTATTGAACAACATGTTCCACTCTCTGCCTTTTCTTTTTTTTTTTTTTTTTTTTTTTGCCCACGGAAGTCCTTGGTGCACGCGGTAGAGCAGTAGCTTTTATTTCGGATGGTTTTGATTACCTGTAAAAATTGCCGAATGGCGTATATTTATAGTTTTAGCAACAACTCTTTACTGTCCGGGTCCAAGTAGGCATTTTGCTTTCGCTAACGAGGTGGGACTTCCACGATACGAAAAATGTACTTGTTTATCGAACGAGCGCATGCAGCTCGGTGCTGATAGAGTGCCCCCTCCCCTCCGAGTCTCTAGTCTCTAGTTTTCTCTAAAGATCCCGACTCGGCAGTGGTCCAATTTTTCACCGGGGCAAATGTTTCTTGTTCACAGTGGCGGCATAAAGTTCACCGACCTGTCGGAGGATGAAGGTATGTCACTCATCACTTTTTTCATTATTTTCCCTTCTTCTTCTCTGTGTTGATTTGGCGCCGCTGAGCGAGCGAAGTGTTGTCATCCCCGGTGGACAGCCAGTGCCTGTAGAGCGCAAATTTGGTGCCCGCTCCAAAACCGCTTCAAAAATACGCAAAAGAAAGCGCGAAAAGAGTGCTTTTATGTACCGTTTTCGCGCTTTTTTTTGCGAATTTTTGAAGCGGTTTTGGAGCGGGCACCAAATTTGCGCTCTACAGGCGCTGGCTGTCCACCGGGGATGTGTGTGGCTCGAGTACCGCTTCGGGGAATGCCCAGTCGGCGTCTGCTCTGAGGTCTTGGTGGCGGCCGTTGCGGAAAATGAAAGGAAGGGTTTCCAGTGGCGTTGCTCTATCCACCCGTGTTGCTGTTTTCCGAATGAAAGGGGTGGGGAAGGCCTAGCCTCTGGACTCGGGAAGCCGCTCTGCCTGCACCACTGTCTGGCCTGGCCGGCCGGAGCAGCCGCCGGGGTGCGCGCTCCCTCGCCGTCTGTTATCGTCTGGCTGGCTCTAAACGACGCGTTCGTCGCTGCGTCTCTGTCGCTCTCGATGGGCGGCCGGCAGGGGTGCGAGGGAGACAGAGTGTCCGGGATCAGTCTGCCGGGGAGACGACCAAGGACACGTTAGGGTAGGCTCACCTATCAGGTATGCGAGGCCCGAAGGGTGTGGTGGGCTGTCTGCTTACGCATGCCGGAGGGGCTCCTGTTGCTGGAGCACACATACGTACTCACTCAAACGCGACGGCCGTTGCGTGGCGCTGCTTTAGACTGTGGGAGGGAGAAAGCAAAGCAATAGACATGTCCATCATGCGGAGGGCACCGAAGGACCTTGTTACCTAACTCGGATCCGGAATCCGGGCTTACCGGCCTAAGACGCCTTCCGGTTTGGTTCGGGGCCCGAGGGGCGTGCTTTGACTCACGGCCTTTGGGCTGCACTGGGCAAGGCGGTGCTTGGCAGTGTAATGCAGCCCAGTCGCACCGCGTCGTGCAGTCGGCCGGCCCTCACGGTCGTTCCCTTCCTGGTGCCATCCTAAGTTATACTTTTTAAAAACGAATTTGCAAACGACACCGCGGCGCACGCCGCACCGTTCTCTCTTTTCCCCGATGTCGTTTCGTTCTTTTTGGACCATTTTTTTTTACGCAAAGCGGCGTACAAATGCAAATGAAACGATGTCCGGTTGGCGGGGTGGCGTGGCGTGCCCGCCTCGCCGCCGTGGCGTTTGGTTCTGTCTCCGTCTCAGGTTCGCTGCCTCGCACATTTTCGCTGTCGCGGCGATGGCGGCTCCTCGCGACGTGGCGCGCTGCAGACTGAGAGTCGCTCTGTCTCTCTCGCTCTCGTGGGCCGCGCCGCCTAGGTGCGACAGAGACGGAGCGACTCTCGGAGTCAGTCTGCTGAAGGCGACGCTGCTGATTCTGGGGAAAGGGTGGGGGGCACTATGCTAAAAATTCACGAACCGCGTTTTCTGCCCGTCGGCGCACTGGCGGCGGCACGCGCGGGGGACGGACGGACGCCCTGCGGACGCCCCGCCCCGGCCGTCGTCCTGGTGACGTCAGCGGTGATAAGGCTGTCGCGTGGCGCTGCCGGGCCGGGCCGACCGAGCTGGCAGGCGGACTGCAGTCGCGGATTAGCGCGCCAAAAGGGCGTTACATCGCGGAGCGGGCAGGCAGGCAGGCGGGATCGAACCCACACCTGTTGCACGTGGCGCGCTGCCTCGCGCTAGCGCCGCCTCGCCGCGACGGTCGCCACCACGTGTGTGCCACGTGGTGGCCAGCTCGCGTAACGAGAAAGAGAGAGGACGCGTGGCTAGACAGGTGCGAGCCAACGGATTGGAGGAAGCGAGGCATTGACTGAGCGCTCAGGCCGCTCGGGCCGTGTGTGGCTCTACTTGGCCTGGGCGACCTGTCCCGCGGCCGGCGCGGCGACCGCCAGACCAGCCCAGCCGGCAGCCAGCCGGGCAGCCAGGGCAGCCAGCCGGTCCGCCGGGCTTTTCTGGTGACGGAAGGGAGGAAAGGACGTTCACGGTCGCCGCCTCGCCGGCGTTCCTTACCCCCTGCCCGGGCCTCAGCGCCTCAGGGCCTCGCCCGGCCTCGCCCGGCCTCGCCCCCCCCCCCCTCCCCTCCCGGGACCCCCGTCGCCAGCATGCTGCCAAGCCGCGGAGGTACGCCTGCAGGCTGCCTGCGAACACGGCCGCTTTCGACTCTGTCTCTCTCGCACCCCTACGGGCCGCCCCACGAGTGCGAGAGAGACAGCGCTCTGTCCGGATTGGGCCTGCTGGCGTCCGTCCCTTTCACACCGCCTCTCTCGCTCGCGCGCCTCGGAAGCCTCGGACTGCCTGACCTGGCACGGCGGCACGGCGCATGTGTACACTAGTGAGCACCACCGACTCGACCTGTGGGTCCTCGTGGTCGTCCTTCCCCTCATGGGACACCTGTCCTCGATACGCTCTGGGCACGTGCCTTTCTGGGGGTGTCTCTCTGGGGGTGCTTCCCTAGGGGTGCTTCTCTAGGGGGTGCCTCTCTAGGGGGTGCTTCTCTAGGGGGTGCCTCTCTAGGGGTGCCTCTCTGAGGGTTCCTCTCTGGTGCACCTCCACTTGGCCCTCACGGAAGTGGCACCGCGTCACTGCATGCGGTCTGAGTGGAGTCCACAGTGGACTAGACGGGACTAGAGGGGAGGGGGACTTCCGCAGTCGTCACACGCAAGCGACGCAAGCCTATCGTGCGGGCTATCGGCTTCGACACTGCGAGTGTGGATGATCGCATCAGAGCGGTACGACTGCCGAGACGGCCCAAGCCGGGCAAAGCGCCAAAAAAAAAAAAAATGGAAAACCTGGGAAGCGAAAAAAATGGTGAAGGAAAAATGCGATAACACTGATGGCGCATGGCTCGCCGGGATTCCTTCCTTTTCTACGGGACCGCGTGGTGCGGCGTGGTGCCTGGGCCGGCCCGGGCCTACTCGTCACAGTGTGTCACAGTGTTTGGATAGCGTGTCTGCAGTGCCTGCGGTGCCCGGGGACGGAGGGGGGATTGAATTTATGCGACGATGGGTCGCACTGAGGCGATGCTCCCGTTTACTTGACTTTGCCCCCCCCCCCCCCCTCTCCCGGGGAAGTCCGCGACGGGGCGAGCGAGCCTGAGCGCAGCGACCGCGGTAGACGCACTGTGCAATTGATTTGTCTCAGACTTGGGAGAGAGATAGTCCAATGTCGTTCGCTTTTATCTTTTGTTGCTGCGCCGAAGAATTTGTTCCCGAGGAATAACGCCAAAGCGCTATCTGAACGGTAGGAAAATGGTGCCTCGTAAAAGCGGCGGGTTTTTTGGCCTCTCGAGGCCAGGCCGAGGGCCGGGCGGACTCCTGAGCTGTCTGGGCGCGTCTGGGGACGCCGGGGCGTCTGGGGCATGAAAGTGCATCATTTGGGGCGGACTCGAGGCCACGCGGCCAGTGCACAGTGGGCCAGAAGACCGGTGGAGGCGGCCGAAACTCAAGACGCGTTTTGAGCTCCAGAGTCGCTAAATGGGACTCGAAGCGAACGTGTGACCCCACCAATGGATTCCTCGTTCGGAGAGCAATCCAATGGTGGGGTCACACGTTCGGTTCGAGTGCCATTTAGCGACTCAAAACGCGTCCGGGATTTTGGCCGCCTCCGCCGGTCTTCTGGCCCACTGTGCAGTGGGGCTGTGGGGACGTGGGTCTGCCCGGCCGATTCCGAGCGAGGTGTCCCGTCGCTCTGTCTCCGTCTTACCCATGCGGGACGCTCCGCGAGTGCGAGGGAGACACCAGCCTGTCTCTATCCGGCTGATCTGTCATTAGACTGACGAGACATGGAGCCGATGCGGCCGTAGCCTTTCGAGTTTGCCCCGGACGCCGCCGCGTCACTCCTCGTCCGGCGGCCTGTCCGAGTAGTCTGTCGGCCCAGACGGGTTGATCTGATCTGCTGCACCTGAAAAAGGAAAACCGAGGCGTGACCTATTTAGTGCGTGGTTATCATACGAGTGTAGCAGCCGCGGCTGCCTCTTGTTGCCGGTGGGGCGCTTACTCATTTTTTTGCCGCTGATAGGAACCGGTTTGAGTGCCCTAGCCTCGCACCGACCGAGCTAAGGGCCTTATTGGACACTAACGGCGAGAAAACGGTCGTGACGACCGCGTTGTGCGATTTCGCTCCGAGTTACCGGACCATTAGCAGTATAGACACCCATCCACACCACTGCAATTTATTCAGATTTCTTGGCAGGGACGCTCGCCGGCGGTCGTCGCTATGGTTACGTAAAACAGTCGTGCCCGTCTTCCTGGGCAGGTCGTAAGTCGTTCGAGTTCGAAACGGGCGCGTCGTGAGGAGGACTGTTTCCGACCAGACTCGTTATTCGCCTCGAGTGCAAAAATGTCACCTTTCGCGGTCACGCGAGCGAGTGCATGTGTGCACGTGTGAGCTGAGGCGTGTCTAGTGGCGTGCAACGCGTGCAACGCCACTCTAGAGCGTGCTCTCTAGTTAGACCCAGCGTAACCTCGTGACCTTGCGGGCCTCGGAGACCTCGCCTGGCAGGTGTTTGAGCCTGCGCCCTGCACCCACGCAAAGTTCTAAAAATATTCCGAGGAACAAAAAAGACCCCAGAGCAACAATGAGAGCGTCGTTTGCAAAGGGAGTGGTGCGATGAAGTACGTAGCAGCGCAATGCTGCTCTCCGTTGCCACGCCGGCGGAGTGTACCACATTCTGCCGAGTGCAAGTACAGGCGGTGCAGTCGCCACGCGGCCGGGCGTTGCTAAGCCGCGCCTCTCGAGCGCGCTCTGTACCGTTCCGTCTTAACTTTATTTTTTTGCAATCGTTTTGCCGGTCCTGTTATTGTTGGTCTAGGTTAGTGGCGCTCCGTGTCGTCCGCTAGTTTGCTTGTCCGCCGAGGCTCCGCCGCCCCACTTCTGCTGGCTTCGGTACAGTCGGCCCCGAAATTAATTTAGTAGTTCCGCGGTCGCGTCTTGGCGGCCACGCCGAGACACCGGGGCGGGGTGAAGCGGGGCGACCCGAAAGCTCGAAGCGGTCGAAAGCAGCTATGAAAGCCTTCCGGGAGCGCGCTTGTCTTTCGCTCTGCCCGTCTCCGCCTCGTCACGCGTAGTCACGCGACCAGAGCCTCCCTATTTTAAAGCTTTAACCGCACGGCGAGGACGCTCGGGTCGATGCCCAATATTCCGTCGATGTGCGCGAGGCACAATGAACCTTGTTTCGTTTCTGGGGAAGGGGCCGTCGTATATTGAAAACGCGACCCGTTCTGTTTTGCCGCTACTTTATTTCCAATATTTTAATTAAAAATCTCCTACCTTTTTCTTGCCTTTTTTTTTTTTTTGAAAAAATAAAATTTTGTGAATGATTTAATATCTTGCGAAGTAAACCAATTTGTAAATGGGCTTTCTCGTGGGACTTTGGAGCGAGGCCTTCGCCTAATTTGGGAGTCTTGGCGGCGTCACTAGGTGACTGTCCGACGGGCCACCCACTGCGAATGACTGTACCGCGGTGGTGGTGCCGCGGTCATGGGGCGCCCCGCCCCGCCCCGCCCCGTGTGAGCGTCCTGCCCGCGCCCGCGCCCGCCTGTACACTGCGTCCTGCCAGTCCTGCTCCCTTGCTTCACCTCGGCGCCACTTCGCGACGAGCTTCGCGACCGCAGCGACGTGGCGCTAATTTTAGCGCCGAGACGGAAAGGGAAAAGAATACCCCACCCACCCCCTCTCTCCCTTTTTCTGGTTCCCCAATTTTTTGTTCTTTTTATCTTTTCTTCCCGGCCGGGGGTTGGCGGGCGGGGCCTGGCGGCGAGAGGGTTGACCGTGTCTCGTCTGCCCTGACTCGCAAGGTTTGCCAGCGTCGGCGCCGCTCTACATGCAGCCGCGCACCGACACCACGCACACACACACACACACACACACACACACACCGCGGGGGCGTCGCGGCGTCGCTGGTACAATAATAGCTCGTTCTCGTCCGAAACGCGGTGCGCGGCAACGCGGCTCGGCTGAAACGCTGAAAGGCGCTGAGGAGGCGCCACTGGTTGCGCAATGCCTCGATCGCCGCGGAAAAGGGATTCTCTCTCCTCTCTCTCTCTCTCTCTCCCCCTCCTCCGATGCCGCGGACGTGTCCTGCCCTCGGTCCTGTGGCGGTCCAAGGTGGCCGTCGGTCATCATGCGTGGCCCGCACATTATGTCACCGGTTCGATTGCGCCGCGAGTGTGTGTGTGTGTGTGTGGGGGGGGGGGTCAATGACCACGACGGAGGACCACCTCAGAGTTGTACAATAACTCAGTGAGGCTACCACCACCGGCGCGGTGCGCCCGGCCCGCGCGGTCTATGACACGCCGCATCGTGCGCGCGCACACACACACAGACACGCTACAGATAAGGCTTGTGTCGTTTGCAGAAGTAATGCGCCGGACGATATGTGTTTGAAAAGGTGTGTTCAGTGTCCCTTCCCCCCTCTCTCTCTATTCCTGGCATTGAACAGCCGATAGTGGCGCCAGGTGATTGGATGTAGATGTCACATGCCCGCCTATCTGTCTCCTCGACGCGACCGCGGATCCATCATCGGTTCTTGGCGAGATTGCCGCAAGGCGCGAGAATCGACAACGCGTCTTATTGTATTACTTCTTCCTGTTTAAAACTACCAAAAAAAAAGATTTCTTTAAAAAAAAATTTTTGCTGTTTTTTTTATTTTCCTGGCATGGCGTACAAGAGGAAAAAAATTCTTTTAAAATTTTTTTTGTTGCTGTTTTTTTTTTTTTCAATTTTCCCGGCGTGGCGTACGCGAGGAGCGGATTGCGAGGAAGTGGTTGCACAACGCGACGCGCTGCCCAATATTTATTTCTGCTGTCGCACGGCGGCCCGAGGATGAATCGCCCCCTTTGCAATCGGAGCTGGAGTTTCCATCAGCCTCCAGCCATGCTTATCCAGCCGCGCGAGCTTATCCGGCCGCGTCGCGCCGTCTCTCTCGCACCCCCAGCGAGTGGGAGAGAGAGGGAGAGAGGCGGCCTGTGGAGCGCCTTCCAGGCGACCTTGGCGCCGTGATTAATCCGAGGGGAGGTGGATGGATGGTGTCACCTCGTTCACGCCGCCTGGGCGTGTAGCAGTGTGGCGGTCTAGTCAGCCTCACAGTGTCGTGGACGTTACGTCGTCGTCACACATGCAAGCGGGCCCAATTTTTTTGAATTAATCTAATCTACGAATTTCGAAGAATTTTCATTTTTCGCTGAGTTGGCAAGCTGTGTTCACCCCTTGAAACGACGCGTCACGCTCCTCGTGACCACGATTGTTTTTGTCGTCACTGTGGCGTCACTCGCACTCGTGCTCTTGTTGTCACAGTGGCGTCACGCGTACACTCGTGATTCCGTTGGCTGCTTGTTTTCCTCGTCACAGGGCAAAGGCAGGGGGCGGTGGCGGCGAGGCTCATCGGCAATGTGACCCCGCGTTAGTGGCTCGCGGCTCGCTCGCGGCCGTGACCGTGACGACGAGACCACGGACCTGGCGCCATTGCCCTTCGTTGGCGCGCTCCGTTTGGAGCCGTGCGTCTCCCTCCCACCCGTGGGGCGTCCCGTCCGAGTGCGAGAGAGACAGAGAGTCCGCCGCCCGCCGAAGCGCACCCCCGGACTGTCCAAGCGGGTTGGACCTAACCGACCCGAACCAGTAGTGCCAACTGCCAGCGACGCTGCAGACTCATTCCGAGAGTCGTCGCTCCGTCTCTCTCGCACCTTTAGGGGAGGCCCCATGAGAGTGAGAGAGACAGAGCGTGCTGCGCGCTGCGCATGGCACCAGCTGCGTCGCGCCCTCCACGCCCTCAACGCTTCATGACTATAAAACTCGCGCCAGAGTTAGCAGACTGTGAATGAACAATGAACCGACTGGCGGCCTGGCGGGGGCAAGTGAGACTTACTGCCAAATTTTGAGGCGACAGCTCACTGGGGGGACGGCGACAGTCGGTTGTTTTTGGCGCGCTTTCGTCGGGACGCGCTGTGGAGCAGGGATGTGTCATCCAAGGCGGTGCGGTCCAGTTCGCAGCTGTGCCTAGCTGTGCAGATACTCGCCGGCGTCGCTGCGCACTTCGTTACACGCCCAGGATTTTTTTCCGCCGACGGGAACAGATGGGAGCTGTGGTCCAAGCGTGTCGCTCTGTCTCGCTCCCATAGGGCGGGGGGTGCGAGAAGGACAGAGCGTCGATACGACTTGTGGGAATCGCTCGCTCGCTCGGCCGGCGACGGGGATTTCTTATTGTGTTAGTGCCACGCGACTGGGCCTGCCCCACCTGCCCCCCCCCCCCCCCTCGAAGCTAACAGGCTTCTCGTCTTCGTCCTCTGCTGCGCCCTCGCTGCACCTTGGCGGCACCCGTTCCACCTCCTTTCACCCCCCCCCCCAATCGCCACCCCCGCGATCCGCCCCCGAACGGTCAATTGTTGCTTCGCGCACGACGCACGGGGGTGGTTTTTGTCACCCCGCCGACTGCTCTCTGTCGCACTCGTGGAGAGAGAGAGAGAGAGAGAGAGAGAGAGAGAGAGAGAGAGAGAGAGAGAGAGAGAGGAGAGAGAGAGAGGGGGGGGGAGAGGGAGGGAGCGCGCGGCCCGGCACAGCCTCCCCGTGGCCCTGCCCTTGGGTCTCTCCGAGCTCACTGGTCTTTTAGGGGTGGCGGGCGGGGCGGGGTGGGGCGGTGAATGTGGGCCAAGGTCGAGGCGTGGCGGCGCGTGGCCGGGCGGGGCGGGGCGGGGCGGGGCGGGGTTCTCATCCCCACCTCAAGGTCGCGCCACGCGGCCGCGCGACAAAATCAAAGTGTTGCGTGAGATAAAATTCGAATCACCTAGAGCCTTTTCTCCGGTGAAACTGGAGTACTCGGCCATGTTCTTGCACCCTCTTGCTGCTCGCCTCGTTTTCATTTCTTCTCTCTCTCCCTCTCTCAGCCACTGACAGGGTTGTAGCTTGGTTGTTTCGGGTCCGGGTTCGACCCCCGCTCAGAGCCTCGTCGGTGTCATCATTTCATTCATTTTCTTGGTCTGCCCCGCCCTTGTCTATTTTTAGCCCTGTGAGGAGAAGCGCGGCCGCCTGTCTTTCTTTTCTTTCCGTCTCTCTCTTTTTTTTTCTCGTTGTACCTTGTTTCATTCTCACGTGCCCCTTGCGGGATTTGCGTGTTTTAGAGTCGGCCGATGGGTTGTGTCACCGATGTTTAGTTCTGCGGGGAGAGGGTGAGTGAGGCCGCGTCTCCTGTTGTGTTCCCCGTAACCCGCTGTACCTCGCTGTACCTTGCTGCACCGAGCCCCACCCCCCACTGGCCGCACGCGGACCAATCAGGACGCTCCGTTTTGGCGGCAACTTTTTTTTGGCGGAGCGCGCTGATTGGTCGCCTGTTGGCTGGACCCGCGGCCTGGCGGGCTGCTGCCCGGCCCGCAGCTTTCCTAACACGCTTGTCCCGGGGACAACAGCCTTGACGGCCTCCCTTGGTGCGCTTCCGGAGCGAGCAGCGAGAATCGCCAGCTTTGCAGTGGAGTGTCCCGGGCCTCGTCTCGCTCCGGACTTGCTTTCGAGCTGAGAGGGCTGGTCGCGTTCGTAGCGGTGGGACCTGTCGGTCGCCAGCTAGTCGCACCTTGGTTGGTTTTAGTTTCGTTCTCTGCCTGACCCCTGGGCCCTGGGCAAGGCCCCGGGGAGAGCGCCCCGTCCTGTCCCCCTTGTTGACAGTCGGTTCGCGTTGCGCCGCGTCGCGCCCTCGCGGTGCAGCCGGCGTCTTTGCCGCTCCGTTCCGCTCCCCTATTCGCTATTTTGGCGCGTTGCCGCTGCCTGCTGGCTCGCCCCGCCCCGCCCCGCCCCGCCCCGCCCTGGCTCGAAGCGCGCGCGGAAGGTAACCTTTAGGCGTCATTGTTTGGCGGGCTTGGACTGCCCCTGCCCTGGCGTGGCCTGGCGTGGCCTGGCGTCGGGCCGGCCATGCTGCCAGCTAGTGGGACTTTCCGGACTCCCCCTGATGCCCTCCAGCACACCGCCACCCTCTCCGCCGCCCCCTGCTGAGGGATAGTGCGGCGGGCGGCCTGTGTGTGGGTGGACTCAACAGTGCAGGATTCATCCGCTGGGCCTCTACCCTGCCGCCTTAAGGCCATGGCGCCTGCTGGTGGGCAGTCCCGTTGGACGCGCCGTGTCGGCGGGCCTGCCTACCCTGCCTCCGTTAGGGGCCATGGCGCCTGCTGGTGGGCAGTCCCGTTGGACGCGCCGTGTCGGCGGGCCTGCCTACCCTGCCTCCGTTAGGGGCCATGGCGCCTAGTGGGTGGGCAGGGGATGGGTCTTGCAGTGTGGGGTCGGCAGGCCGCCTGCGCAGTCTACGCTCAGGGAAGACACTCTAGCATGATGAAATACGTCCGTCTGGCTACCGAAGGAAACTCCCAACCCCCTTTCTACTGGGACGTGTTATTGCAACGTCGATTTGTCTTCTTCGTGCCTGGACTGAGACATATTAAGCTCCTTGTTGGCTCATCTATAAAATACTTTCGAATTTTTTAATACAAATTGGGATTTTCAGTTGCTCTTGGAAACGTCTGGTGTTGGTTCTTTTGATACTCGGCTGTACTTTATGGATGGGCCTTGTTGCAGCTGCGTGGAGTTGAGTTGCATCACCTTATTGCTTGCTGCTATGATCTGACTGACCCCCATCTAGAATGAATATCAATTTAACTGTTGCTTTTGGGCAGTAATTGAAAATTTACAAAGTGAATTTTAAAATATTAAAATATTTTTAAATATTTGGATAAATGTTTAATGTGACATCATAATTTGTGTCACATGTGCTAATGGGATGAAAGTAGCTTCTATAGTAGGAATAAGGAAGAGAGGCAGCTCTTTTGTTTCTTGTCAATTAAAATTTTATTGAATAATAACTTAAACAAAACTGTTTTTCTATGTTGCAGCTTTCAAGTTCCAAGAAAACCTCCTGAAGACGATGATTCAAATTGAGAACACATTCTTCGCCCTGGGAGAGTCCTGCACAAGAAACTGTCTGATAATCTGTGACCGTGGAGCTATGGATGCTAGTGCTTGTAAGTAACAATCTTCAATGTCTCTTCTTGAAAGTACTTGGACAATCAAAATCTTACTACTTTGGAACTGAAACTAAATAATTATATTAATATTTGATTTTAGTCATATCTAAAGAGAAATGGGAGTACATGCTGGCTACAAACGACTTAAATTCCGTTGACCTGAGAGACAACCGGTACAACCAAATCATCCATCTTGTGTCTGCTGCAAATGGAGCAGAAGATTTTTATTCAACAGAGGTAAAAATATTGCCCTTGATGCATAAGGTGTTTGATTTATTAGTCCCCTCTGCTTAAACACTTTTTGTCATTTTTGTTTGTCAGGATCATGTTTGTCGTAGTGAAGGTGTTGAAACGGCTAGAGAGTTGGACTACAAAGCTGCAGCTGCGTGGGTGGGACATCCATATTTTGATGTCATAGACAATTCTACTGACTTCGAAACCAAAATTTGTCGCATGATTTCGGTATGTGTGTAGAAAGCAGTAAGCCTCTGGGGCACTATTAATTTTGTTGATTTGTGCATTGTTTATATTATGGTATCTCTATCTCCTCATAGAGCATCTGCCAAAAGCTGGGTATTGATGTTGGTGACCGTCTCCTAACAAACTCGCGCAAGCTCAAGTTCTTGGTTAGAGGCCCTCTCCCATCAGATGCTGACTTTCCACCATTCCAAGACTTTGATGTAGTTCACAACTACCTTCAGTCCAACAACCCTCAAATGCAGGCTCGTCTCCGAAAACGTGGCCAGAAAGGTAAGTCTGATTCACTGTGTACAGGTTTCCATGAAAGGACAATTGAGTTCAGGCTTTTAAAATTGTGGTGGGTACTAATGCTTTTTCTGCTGTGTAGGTCATTGGAGCTATATCCATACTATTAGGAAACCCAAGCTTCGTGGTCAAGTTGTGGAAGTGAAAACCCAGCTTACTCACCGTGATTATGTCAACATGCTTACTCAACGAGATGATTCACATTTCACCATATTCAAAAAACGGCGTTGCTTTTTGATTAATAACCAATACTTCCAATTGGATATATACCGAGAGCCAAGTCACCCAAGGTAAAATATACAATTTTTACCGTTTTTTTTTGCTTTTGTTGTTAAATTAAGAAACCACCCCTCGACTGTTTTTAACCACTGCTCAATTTATTTCAGGTGTAAGGGCCTAGTTCTGTTAGAAACTTACACAGCTTTGGATTCCATTGAGAATACTCTCCCATTTTTCCTGACTGATGTTGTGGATGTCACTGGGAACCCAGCTTACTCAATGTTCAACTTGTCGCTAAAGGAGGAATGGAATGCAACAAATAAGTTTTGCCATGGGCTGAAAGGTAAACGTTTGTCCAATGGTTCACAAGGAAAATGTTGTGCTAACTGTGAATAAAATATTTTCCTCAAAATCATTTATTTTAGTACTATATTAATTCTTTAAACATCCTGTTGCTGCACTTTTGAACAATAAATATATACTACATAGCACTGGTAAACTAATGATTCATTAGTTTTGTAGCCAAAGAATGAGTTTTGATTCATTAACTTTCCTGCCTTGTTTAATTTTGATATGGGAAAAGCCTCAACATTATTTTAGGGCAGGATAAATTGTCAGCTAACAGGAGGAAATAATTAAGCAATGAGGCCAACTTTTGGAATTAGTAGTTGTATCAGGTTTATGTCTCTAGTACGTACAGTTGTTAGATCTGAACTGGAAACAACATTCTGTTACCAGATGAGGCAAGCGGAAAGAGTTGATGAGACTACTCTTGACTCCTAGCAGGTACGCTGTTAATCGTACTGCTTGTCTCACAGCTATTTTGGTGTTGTAGCTGCTTACCTAAATTGCGTGTTTATGTTGGCCTTTTTTTAAAAGAGGAATTTTGCTGTTTTATTTTTATGACAATGCTCATTTGACTTCTGTATTAGTATTTTGTTTATTTTTTGTTGTACATTCTTATGATTTTTGTGTGTTTTTGCATTGTAGACTTACATTCACATACTGTAACTAGCAACACATTGTTTTATCCTGACCTAAAAGTATATTTTTTGCACACTTAGTTTAGATACAGTACACTCAACACAACAGTGAAAACGCATGAGTTAAGGAAAACAGCATTGTTTTTAATAATGTTGCATGGTTTTTTAACACTCTATCTTCCCAAATATGAGCTTTAGAAATTTTTACTCTTTTTAGCTCTTTCTTTATGATAATAAATTATACTACCTTCAACAGTACTCCATGGCCTGAAATAGTGTCACTGTTATTTCAAGGCTGTGCTATTTCCCTGAACTTTGATAAATTTAGTCTTATGAAAGTAATATTGGCTGTTTTTGAGATTTACAATGAGTCTGTATTCTTATAACAACTTCTAAGACTCGCATGCAGCCCCATTATTAGAGATTCCTTTATCCCTTGTGCAGGTGCACTTTCATAATGTTTCCTAAATCAATTTTCAAAAACTTATTATTGCAATTTCTTGTGTTAACAGATCCAATGGATGGCGACAGCAAGAAGCCTCTTGAACCCACCACCGCTGCATTTCTTAAAACAGTTACATCTGAAGAGGGAAAATCAAATGGCATTCCTAATGGTGTAGCTGGCACTGTCCGGTTGAATGGTGTGAAGAATGGCGTCAAGAATGGTGTCTCAATTGATGTCCCCAACGGAGAATGTGGTAAACACAATGGGGTCTCCAATGGCTGTATTTTGAATGGTGTTAATAATGTAAAGTCGAGTGGCATCTTCAATGGGGCATGTGCTGAGAAGATACACTTGTCTGGTGATACCCTGAAGAGGGCTGAAAATGGGGACAGCACTGGTCCCAAGATGCATGCTGTGAATGGAAGCATAGCAGTCAATGGCAGCTAATCTCATGGGAAGACAGGAGTAAAGCTTTAGATGTGACTGCCTGCCGGCCTGCAGAGCACTCTATGTATCTTGTATTGCATAGTATTTGAGCCACTGACATGTATTAGTAATTGCTTAGAAGCATATTGCTACTCCTGTCCTCCCAGATAAACAGATCCATTCTGTAGAGTGTAGGGGTTTAATGTCTTAGAAATTGTATGTTGTGATTGTGCTTTAGCTTAAAAAGTTACAAGTTCTCCTTAGACCGCCTTAGACTGCCATCAGTCTAGCTGGCGGGAAGTGATTCAGTTATACTAGTACTATAGCTTTGGCTCAATTACTCAAGTTATTTTTGTGGTTAACAGTATTTACGTGGCTTATGTAAGATCTGTGCTGCTTATTTTGTAATGTGGACAAATTTTCTTTGTGTTGTGTGTAATCTCATGTTGATTACATATCTTAAATTTTAGTTCCCATCTTTGTCCTTAGTTGATTTAAGTAAATCCACTAAGTGCCTTCTTGTGGATGGTTTCTCTAGTGCCATACAAAAAGTCTTTACATTAAGGACTAAACATTGAAATGTGAGGTTTCTGTTGAAATCTTGCCATAGGTTTAGAAGATTTTGTGCTCGTCCTGTAAGAACTTGCCTACCCAGTGCCTTTACCTGCAGGAAGCAGTTGTATCATTTTAGTTTTTATTACAGACAAAGTAGGAAAAATTATCTGCATTGTGCCACATATTTTGGAAGAAACTAGAAATTAGGAATAATACAGGAAACAGCATTCATTAGAAAATGTGTTGTAACATTGTTGGAAGTCCAGCAAACCTTGTTGAAACTTTGAGCTTCTTGTTTCTTATACCATTTTAGATCTTCTTTGATATGTATTATTTTCCAAGTTTCAAAACCTAGGGCAAATGTAGTGATGCCTTTTTTAGTCTTAATACAGCATGCAAGAGCTGAGATTACTGTAAGGTGAAAATGCCATCAATGCTTATGCATTGATGTATTTTCACCTCAGCAGATCCAAGTAAAACTCAGACTTATCTTGAATAAATCTGCTGACATTAGTACTTCTAGCTATGTGATAGTAGGTTTTTCTTAACAGAAAAGCCTAATGCAACTTTGTTACAGTAGTTGCGATTTTACTTGAACTGTAATATTTTGGTCTGACCCAGTAAAATTGCATCTAGTATTTTAACTGTCCTACTGCTGAACTAAATATGTACAGTTTGTAACATCTGCTGCATACTTTTGTATTCATTTATAAAAATAGGCTTCCTGGAATGAGATCTCACTGTAATCAATTGGTACTTGTCCAGGCATACACAGCCTATGGAGGGAAATATTGAAATTACGGCTTTAAGTACAGAATAATTAGCTGTAAGTTGTTTTGTGATACATTGTGTGAGAGTGATGAGAATTTATTTTTAAGTACCTGCTATGATGGACTCTTTTTAGCGGGACCAGCAGTATGGGGAAAGGGAATACCATTTTGGAAATCTCAAACAGTATTTTGTTACCAGTTTGTTTTGCTATTAAAATTCATGCCAGGCCATTCTAGTTAGTAAATTGAACATATTTCTTCAGGCCCTGTACAGTCACCACTTCATTTTGCAGTCTTGAAATTTATCACTATCAGTGTGGTTAATTAATTTGCATTCATTTTCACGTCATGTACCTTGTTGTCAGAAAACATTTAAGACATGTTCTTAAGTTGTATCATGAATTCACATATGAGCTGGTTGAAGCTTTCACCATATTAAGGCCAATTTTTGAATTAATTTACTATGTACAAAGTTTCAGCCTGATACTGTCTATTTTTTCATTTCTTCATATATTATTAAAGTCGTGTATTACAACAGAACTCTTATCAATATGTGTTAATAAATAATTTCTAATCTTTAGAATTTTTATTTTCTAATGTCATTTTATATCCTGTAATACACTTTGCTTCCATAACACAGAATACAAAAGTCTAAAATCTATAGGTACAACAAAAAAAAAAACTGTAATGAAATACTTTAAACATTGATCTAAAATGTTTGCAACAATTTCAGAGCAATAATCCGACCCTGTAAACAGACCCAATGATGCCTACTAGAGAATAATACTGAGAATTTTCCCAGATTTCTCAGATACAATGACTTACCTTACTTGTTAAACTGTAAGCAGTCAGATAAATGAATTTCACAGTCCAAGATATGGTATCCTGCATTGAACACTTAAGACATCATACAGCACAAGTTTGTGTTCAGAACAATCACAGCCAGAAAATGTTCAAACTAGCATTGATTATTATTTAGAGGGACAGTTTTATAACTAACACTGCTCTCTAAATCATCCTTAATTAGCATATGTGAACGGCCACTTATAATCAAGCGTGAAAGATCATTGAAAATTATGGCTAAATTTTGAATAAATTACCACAAGGAGACGCCCCTATCTGTGGAACTATTATTGCTTTTGCTTGTTACGACACACTAGACAAGTCAACATTGTAGACTAAGATACATATAGTTTCGAAGTTAGGACTTCCAGGGTGTTTCTTTGACCCTTTGTTTTTTGTACATATTAAGGACTTTCTTGCCTGGCACCAACGTCTGACTCAGTCCTGGCCTCTTTTTACGTTTAAGTTGTCCATCCTCCCCTTCCTCAGGGTCAGGTTCAGGTTCTGGAGAGGCTGATTCTCGTTCCGGCACAGTTTGTCCAGAAACATTACCAGAAAATGAACTACTATGAGTTGCTGATTGAATAAGATCTGAGTCGTGTGCAAATTTGCAGTTGTGACCAAAGCGACATCTTCCTTTCCTATAATTCCAACAAATTTGTTTGCCATTTATAAACCTTACTTCATCTTTGCTTGGCACCATTTTCACATGTTTCTCCAAAATTGCTTTCTTAGCAATCTCAGCTTCTACGTAAGGATTCATGAAAACTGAATTTTTCGAAGTTGGACCGTTGGCAAAGTCTGGCTTTGGCAACGGGAGTTTAGCCGTTGGCGACGATGCTTCTTGCCTGGAACATAAATGGGAAGAGGATTAAATAATCTTAAATTCTCGAAAGAAAATACTAAGCCCAAAGAGACATAACCTGAATAAAATTTGAATTAATCATACCCTGAAGGCGTTTCTTGTTCTGACTCACTGTCATCGTCAGTCCCGGACGACGAGGACCCATAGTCAGCAACAAGGGAAGACAAAGTGGACATGGTCACCTGATTTGATGCGTTGATTCACACAATCCAATTCTCAAATGCATTTGAAATTATTGATGTCTGCACCCTGCTACACCGCACCGCATCTGAAGCCGTTCAGTTAGCACAGTCCATGAGTGGGTGTTCTGCCCTTCTCATTGGCCCATACTTGCGTGCAGCTTGCACCTAACTGGAAGGAGTTGAGACTACGGGTGGCAACCCACGCACGCGGGTAAACAAAAACAATGGACCATGATAAACAAGGCATGATCATTGAGATCGAGCCCTTCCCTTCAGTAAAATCTATGCTGCATGGTAAAGTGATCCAGAGTCAATCAAGAGAAATCGTGGCGAATGTTTTCGCGTTTATGAAAAGGGAGGCCGAGTTCGGACAACAAATCCCTCTCCGTTGTGTCACGAAACGTGTTATTGCCGCCACGGGAGTTTCAGAGAGAAGTATTCGACGAATTCAAAGGGAAGCCGAAATTGTGTATTCTGGCGGGGCGTCTTCATTCACTTCCCCAAGATCCAAGAAAAGGAAGGTCAAGAAATCCAAGTAAGTTTTCCCCCTTTTTAGGCTATTGTCGTCTGCTTCTGCTGTTGGCACTGCCGTTGTTGTGAGGCTGCTAGAGCTGCCAACGGCTAACAAAAGAAATCAACACAAGCAGTAAAATATTTACTATTTCACTGATGTTAGACGGAGAAGCAAGCCGTTTTGACTCATAAGTTTCTATAAGTTTTACTGCTATTGCTAGTATGGCGAATGAATCATCGTGGCATAGTGCTGTCGAAGTTCTTGGTTTGTTTTCCAAATGATCCAGTATCGAGTAGGCAGTGGGGCAGCGGAGGAGGAGGAGTGTGCCGAGAAGCCATCACAGACGACGGTAATAAATTCCTTTATTTTAGTTAATTGTGGAAAAGGCTGGGTGTACTTGTCATGTAGGTGTAATTAGATACGGGTTTTCTCTTTCATCTAGTTAAACTCTATCTGTATTACTTTTGTGTAGTTTCCTGGATATTGTGTCCAGCCACTTGCCTTGTCAGTGGCCTAAATGTTATTGATTGCCAGAACTAGTTGGTTTATCCTTGTTTGTACTAATTCTGAGCTTGACACCTATGCATTTTTTTGTTTCACCCAAGGTTTTTGCCCAGCACAAGCCTTGGGTGACAAATGTTGTCCTTGTCCTGGCCTGTGGGTGCCTGGAAGGCTGACGTATGACTCATAGCTGATAACAGATTCCATCCAGTTCAGTTGTTGTGTAACAGTTTTTTTAGGCCTCTATGGATGGTTGTTCCCTCTATCCATTGGCTGCTATGTATAATTCTTTTTCAGAAGCCTGTTTGTGCATTCATAATGACTGGATGGTGGTAAATTATTGTAAATTATTTTATTTTTATTTCAGATCTGCTATATTCCAGAATAGTGCTGACAACACATCAAAATCTGTTCCGGATCCAGAGGACAAAGGTGATATAAAACCCAAAGGCTCTGAGAGTGAGGAGAAATCAGACAAAATGTTGTATCCATCCTTAGAGGACTTGAAAGTCGACCAGCTCTCAAAGGTAAAATTTATTCATTCTCCTTTGTAGAACACTGTAGTAATGAGGTAATTTCCATATTTCCTTCAATATTTACAGGCTCAGGGGCCATTTGATGCTGCGGAGGCTTTCATGCATCAGCAGCAAAGAAGTGCTGGGAATACATCAAATCTCATTTCGTATCCGTCCACCGGTGCAGCAGGCATTTACTCTTCAATGGCTCCGCAGCCAGCGGCTGTGCCGGTCCATGGAGTTTCTGCTCCTCCCCCGTACAGTCTCACACCCACAGCTCCCTCAACAGCTGACTCTTGCAGCGTCCGTCAGTACCATACGCCTCTCTATCCAACCCTAAATGATTACATGGGCTTGGATCTCTCACCAGAAACCATTGCTCTGAACATGCCTGAGTATTCTACCGTGGCTGTTGTTCCACCAGTAAGCTGAGTTAATTTTTATTTTTTTTTACTCTTTTTTCATTATTTTTATACATGTTAATGGTCTCTAAATTTGAAATTAATTTATTTTGTACTTTTGCTGCTAGATGCAACTGCAGCCAGCTACAACAACCTCTGGAATGGTTGCTCCTCTCTCTGGTCATTCCCTTGGTCTGCAGCGAGCCCAGGTCACCCATGGCATTCGTGAGGTATTGTTACTTTTCAGTAAAAAAATCTGCCATTTCAATCATACAGACGCTAATGTCAACTTGTTTGTATTTTTTTCTCAGCTGACGGTGTGCAAGGATGCCCATGGGAAAGTAGGCCTTCGTGTACAGACAGTCAACAGTGGTGTGTTTGTTTGTGTGGTGGTTAAGGGTTCACCTGCTGCAATGGCTGGATTACGCTTTGGGGATCAGATACTGCAAGTGAACGGACACATTGTGGCAGGATACACCATGGATCAGGTTCACAAATTGTTCAAAGAGAGCCCCATCAATGGCATCTCGGTTATTGTTCGAGACAGGTTTGTTCCTTCCCTTTTTTCATTTTTTCAAAATATTTTGTATCTGTTCAGTATACTCACTTGTTTTGTTCTTGTTTCAGGCCCTTTGAAAGAACTGTCACTTTGCATAAAGATAGCACAGGACATGTAGGTTTCCATTTCAAGGAAGGCAAAATTGTGGGTCTAGTCCAAGACTCATCTGCTGCCAGAAATGGACTTCTTACTGACCACCACGTGTTGGAAGTCAATGGCCAGAATGTGGTTGGTGTGCCGGACAAGGATATTACAGCAATTATTAATGAAGGCGGACAAACTATTACCATCACCATCATTCCCACTTATGTGTTTGACCACATGGTTAAAAAGTATGTTATTTTCCTGTCTTAAACTTTATTCTTATAAATTGCACCATTTTTACTTATTTTATCTTGTTTTTTCTTTCAGAATGTCATCCAACCTGCTGAAAAGTGCCATGGACCACTCCATTCCAAACGTTTAATTCCTGTTTTTTTTTTTTCTCAAGTGCCATATTTGTCAGAAGGAAACCATGAGTGCCGCTTTGTACCAAAGGGTTGCTACTTTTAGTAGTTATGACTTTGTATGGTCTTAGTTAAGAATATTTTGAATATCAATATCAAAGCATACCCAAAATATAATTTTTACTTAAATATGCAGTACTTCAAATTTGATTTGCACACAGGGTTGACTAACTAACGACTCTATGATTCATTATCTTACACCCTGCAACTCTGAATTTGTATTGTGAATTTTCATCATTTTATTAAGTTCAGTGAGGGTGGTGTGGAACTGTGAACAGGGTTGATTGAATGCGTAGTTTTGTTGTCCCTCAAACAATTTGTGTGGAAATCTTCTACAGCTTTAATCTAGATTAAGATGACGAAGATTGTTCTGGTTCAGTCGGAAAACTGCAGTCAATTTGCAATAAATGTATTTTGACAAAATCTATACTCTTCAGTATGATGTTTTTTCAACATCAATAACCAACAGTGAGATTGTTATTGCCTTAGTTTGTATGTGATCACTTGCTTATAAATTTAAGTATTATGTAGTTCATCTCAAGAACTGCAACTTCCACTTTTGTTTCTCTCCTTTTCTTTATACGAATACATTTAAGTAAGCTGCTGCCTTAGAGTGTCCAAAACTTGTGATTCAACTACTGACTTCAACTCAAAATGTAAGACCGTGCCAATGTCCTTGCTTTTACTTTTTGACCTAACATTTCTGTGGTACATTTTGAGCTCTTAAGTTGGTCTTCCAGGTATTGGAATTTTGTCAGTATTCCAGTTTCATGAGTTCTTCGGTTGGTTGTTTGTAAAATGAAAATGTTTAAGAAGGGGAAAACTTAGAGACTGGAAATTAATAGTCTTTGTTACTATATCAGATGATTATGTGTTAGCTTTCTTTTTATACTATTTGAATTTTATACTATATTTCTGTAGCGTATGAGTTGAAATAAACAAAAAAAAATGAATACTGTCATGTTACTCATGCCTCTCCACACAGTCCGTCCGCATGCAATGGGACTAGATCAAACTGCGATGTCATACAAGTTAAGTAAAAAAGTATAAGTCAGAAAAGAGTTCCACTCATCGCTCTGCGCTGGAGCCCCGAGTAGGCAGTCCTCGCGAGGCCGCGTTCTGGAGGACAAATCCCCCCCTCTCCATTTCTCCTTTAAATTCTTTGGTGGGAATTCGGGGTTGGGTCGGACGGTAGGCGCCAGCCTGACGATTAGCCGCCACACACTTCCGCTAAATGAAGCAACGAATAGTCGGGTCCAGACCGTGTGGTCCAGACAGGGACACGGTGACACGCCCCGCCAGCCCCGACAAGGCCATTCCATCGGCAAGGGCTAGCGGGCTAGCCCACGGTCGTGCTGCCTTGCTGCCCTGCAGTGCGAGAGAGACAGCTGCATGTGTGGATGCCGCCCCCCCCTCCCCGCTAGCCGTGCAGACGTTCTCGACCTCAACACGTGTTCCAGCGTTCCAGGCGCCGGGCTGGAGTCCGCGTATCATTACCCCCGCCCCCACCCACTCAGCTGAGCTGAAAGTCCCGCTGAGTAAAATAACTTTCTCACGTCCAAATTGACACATTTGATAAAACTCCCTTCATAGAATAGACTATTTCAGCGGAGCCGAGAGGAAGAACAAAAGGCGAGCGGGTCACTTCCGGTTGGGTCACAACAAACAGACGACGCGTTGGTTTTCTACCTACCAGCGGTTCCAATAACATATTATTTTCACTCGGATGCGTCTCAAATATTATGTGTAAGCTTCAAAACGCCGTGAAACTTTCAAAAAGAGATATTCGGCGATGTTTAAATCCTCTGTTGTCTGTTTGTTGTGACCCAAGCGGAAGTGGCCCGCTCGCCTTTTGTTCTTCTTCTCGGCTCCGCTGAAATAGTCTATTCTGTCACACCATTCGGCACAAGCTTGCACACGCACACACCTGCATGCACACACACACACATCGCGCTGAGGATCCGTTTCACGTCAGAGGAGTATCAAATTGCAGTGGGCCCACGACTCCAGGAAAAGCCCTCGCCGTTCGAGCCTTCCGAGTCTCTCGTGGGACCCGACTCTTGCTTTCGGCGGCAGAATAACAACACTGTCGGACCTGTCGGTCCAGCCGTTCAATGAGCAACCTTCCAGCCGAACAAAACAAACACTGAAGGGTTCATCTGGTCATCGAATTGACATCATTTTTTGACAGCCTCGCTTTGCCGGGAATTCCAGACGTGCCAGTTTTGGGGGGCGATGCCGCGCGTGGCAACCCCCGTCACCCAGCCAGACAGGGAAAGGGGGAAAGAACCCCCCCCCCCTTCCACCACGCCTGGCCACGCCCAGCTTTCAGGGACTGTCTGCGAGTCTGCCGTGAGTCTGCGAGTGTCTGGTGGACCTCGGGGTCATTTAGCAGCCACTCATGCGTGCAGGCTGACGGCTTGGCGCCCCAGACGCCCCCACCTGAAAAAAAATTAAAGAGAGAGAGAGAAAAATATGTCAATGTATACCTCACGCGCGGAGGTTGTCCCATCAGTCACAAAAAATAAATCGGCGGCGCCATCCCGTTTTTTTTTAAAGACTGTAAAACTTGGAATTTGCACACTCGGGTCGCCAGGGTTTGCTGTGAATTATCCCTGGTTTTCTTTGAGCGGCCCGTGGTTTAGACGGTACAGTGTAGGGTACGCTCTATGTACACAAGTAGCGCACGCCTGTTGGTAACGAAGTCTAAAATGAGCCGGACAAAGGTTTTCCGTTTCGTTGCTTCCGCTGGCAGACTGATTCCGAGAGTCGTCGTTCTCGTCGCTCTGTCTCTCTCGCACTCAAGGGGCGTCCCGTGTGGGTGCGAGAGAGACAGCGCGACGAAGGCGACTCTCGGTGCCTCCGCCGTTTCCTCCCCCCGACGGATTCCTCGAGACTCGCGTTTCGAGCTCTCGAGCCCCGTTCGGGCTCGCCGCCTCCCCGATGCAATTAGAAGGGCTGATCGGGACGCCGCCGCTATCTCCACTTCCCTTCCTCGCCGCCGCGCTTCCTTCCGCCCTTGGCTCGCCGTGGCGCCACCGTAAAAAACAACAACAACAACGGCAAAAAGTGGCGGGAATAAGTCGCCTTCACGCCGCAGCCTTGTCAATTAGCTCCGCGACAAATGCGTTCCCTCCTCTCCATCTCCCTCTCTCTCGTGTTGCCACCAAGGGGATGGTGGTCGGCCTGAAGTAGAGGGGGGTGTCGTCCACCCTTGCCTACATGCAGGTGCCTCAGGCGTTGTTACCTACACTGCATTTGATGAGAAATTCGGCAATCAGTCCGCAGCCGCTCCGCGTGGCCGCGTCTGGCGCCGCGCCTTCTCAGTCACTGTCCCCTAATTAGCCCGGCCCGACATGCATGGTGTCGCTCCGTCTCGCTCGCACCTCGAGGGGCGTGGGGCGTGGTGGGGTGCAAGCGAGACAGAGCGACGACTCGTCGGATAGACGCGCTCGCGGCAATGCGGCAGTAGTGTCACATGGCGCTCGGCCTATCGCTCAAACTATCTCGTGGGCGTCACGTCGGTTTCTCCCACCAATCGACGACCGCCGCGCGCCGCTCGCGCCCAAGGGCAAAAGGGTCGAAAACGGTGGAAACGAGAAAGAGAGAAGTGCCCGGACAACCGTGCGAATGTTACACGCCCAAAGGGCGAGCGAGCAAGCCAAAGAACGCCATGGGCATGGACAGGAAGAGGAGGAAAGAAGGAGGAAAAACCGGCGGATTTGCAGAGATCGCGCCCAGCGCACAGCCAGAGAGAGAAAGAGATACGCAGGCGAGCAGAAGAAATATTGCGATAGGGAGAGTGAGAGAGAAAGGGCGATAATAGCGCTGCGAGGGAAGGGCGGGATACTAAACAGACGCTGCGCTTCAAGTTGGCTCCACTCTCGCTGCCGCGGCAGCCACGGCTACTGCAGGATCCAGCAATCAACTAATGGGTGGCCCCACCACGCCCCACCACGCCCCGCCACGCCCCCCATCAACACGCCACGCCCCCTCCCACGGTCCCACTCGCTCGCGTGCCCCCGCGGGAACCTGGTGGAACCAAAGGCTGGTACCCGTTTCAGGGGTGTGTGCGGGACACTGTAACCGTGGGGCCCACTCAGGGGGACCGGGCGGGACCGGGCACTGTAAGTCGTACGGGAGTTTGTTTCCTCTGGACTACACTGGCTGCACGCTGCATCGCACGGTTTACTGGTGGACGCGACCAACGCGTCGGCGAACCCATTCCGAGAAGGTGGAAGCAAACACTGGCACGCGCCGCACGCGCCGGGGGCCGCTCTGCTACACCACGGCGTCGTCAGTCCGAGGAGACCTGAACGCGTGGTCGTATCGCGTCGGGTTCAAAGTCCACTGTGCTTTCAGGCAGCCGAGTCTTGAGTTAGGCCCGGCCGGCCGGGTTGTTATTCGCCGGTTCGCCGCTGTTCGTGACAGGGTCCTCCCTCTACAAACTGATTCATAAATACTCGGCGGCAATCCACGAGGGCCGGGCCGGGCCGGGCCGGACCTGCCAGCCCCCGCGCACGTGTGCGAGGAGGGGGAGGGGAGGGGGAGGGGCTGGCGCGTGGCGGGAAAGGCAAAGATCCCAAATTTGAGAGGAAGTTTTTACGATGGGCTGCCGCGCCTCTGAAGCAACACCCTCCGCGCCGCCGCGCCCCGCCCGGCTCCCTTTCCAAACAGGATGCCAGAGCATCAGAAACATTTTCCTCGTCAGTTTTAGTTTGTAATTGCAACCGGCGTTCCCGTTTAGGAGGTGCGGAGTGAATGTGTGTGTGCGTGTGTAAAAGGGGGGGGTCATCTTCTCCTCCGCCCGGGAAACAGCACGGCGACAGGTAAGTTCCTTTTGTCACCACATTTGGCCCCTCACTCAACTGTACAGTCCGCTCTTTTGAGACACGTTCCACGCGATCTAGCGCGCACCCGTTGGCAACCCTGGGTGCTGCCCGCGGCTCGGCGCGTCTCACAGTGCGACTCCCAGTGTGTAGTGCACTTGACTCGGCGGCGGCCATGGACCAGACTTTGTAGTCAAGTGGCGGCGGACCGAGAGGCGTTTTCTGTCTCTCTCGCACTCTTGGGGCGTCCCGTGGACGTGCGAGAGAGACAGAGTCTGAGTCCGCCGGCCGGGCACATGGCCAGGCTCTCGGAGACTCGGACGGCAGGAGGGCAGCCGAAGGCAGCAGCACGGCAGGGCTTCCTCGGCCCGGCCGCGCCAGCAGCACTGCTTTTGCCGCTGTCTCTCTCGCACCTTTACGGGACGCCCCATGAGTGCGAGAGAGACAGAGCGACGAGAGCAGTGTGCTGGCTTCGCCTGGCTTTCCCGTCCAGTGCAGTGCTGCTCCCACGCCCAGCGAGCCCGGCCCGGCGAGACGCCAAATGACTCGATGACTCAATGACTCGCCGAATGAATGACTGGAGAAGGGCTGAACGACCGGCAGAATGACTGCATGACGGAATGACTGATTGGCGAATGGCGGAATGGCAACGAAACGAATGAATGGCCAATGAATGAATGACCAATGAGAGACTGAATGCATGCATGAATGGCTGACAAATGAATGAAAGATGAATGAATGGGTTGATGGATGAATGAATGGCTGGCATACTGTGACTGTGAGCAGCATTGGGGCGGTAACAAGTGCACGGAGCAATGATGCGCTGTCAGTGCAGGCTGCTGCTGCTGCACTTGCCTGAGCGTTATCAGTGTATCAGTGCGAGGAGGCCACCCGGCTGCCGCCGTGTGGAGTGGGCTGCTTCGGCCGCCTCCTCCCGTCGCGACCCCCGCAGCCCCGACCACCCCCACGCTTTTAGCCTTTTAGCCGCCACACCCCGCGCGCCAGCCCCGCCTAATTCACTTAGTGGCTTTATGATGCAATGTCTCTGGTGCCTCCACTTCACTTCCCACGATAACAAGTGCACTGCTACCGGCGCGTTGCCGGGCCGGGCGTTCCGGGGCGGTCGCGGTCACACGCCCCCACCATCATCATATGCCTGGCTCCAATTAAACCTGGAGCGGTTCCTCTAAATTTCTTCCAGTGAGGTGACAAAGTGTCACCGGCGTTTTTCGAGTCACCGCTTCATTCACTTGATGCAGAAGCAAAATTCTCACAATTCGAAGAAATGAGCTGCGTGCCTCGCTCGCGAGCTTGGTTGGAAAATGAATGATGTACAAAATTCGAGATGAGTCTTCTTCGTGCTGATGTTGAACAGCGTTCCACAACTCGTCCTCCTGTTCATTACTCTTTCTTCTCCGGGTCGGATGAATATTTGCAGCGCGTGGGGTCGGGTCTGCTCGCCGTGCGTAAAACGGTTTCCTTGTCAGTCACGGTCTTCTCTCTCTATCTCTCTCTATGCGCGCAGCAGCCAGCCACTCGGCAACCCTTTCTCTCTCTCTACTGCTGCTGCACCCGGCACGCGGGACCGACGCGAAGACCACCACGAATTTGGCAGACGGTTCCCCGCAAGCGGCATGCAGTGGCACGCGAGGCTTCCAGGACTTCCCTGCGCCGATTTGTTTACGTTTCGCCCCTTTCCGCGGCTCTTGGAAAGAAGGGAGTCTGAACACACGCCGGTCTTTGTGCCAACCCAATCCTCGCCGCAACGGAGAGAGAAACTTAAAAAAAATATTAAAACAACGAATGGAGAGGAAAAAGAACACGGGAAAAAAAACTGGAGCCGGGGCCGGATTTGAAGGTGGATGTGCACATTCAATGACATGCAGTCGGGGCCTCGCAGGTTGTTTACGGCATCCATGTGTCGCCTAGGCCGGCTGCCCCGCCCCGCCCCGCCCCGCCCCGCCCCGCCCCGCCCCGCCCCGCCCCCGAGTAGTGTCGCATCCTCGGCGCCACGACGCCACGCCCTGCCGCTCAACATGACCATCTCAATCGTCGGCTATTCGGGGATCGAGACGTTCGCCGCTTCGCAGACGCCGGCGAGGGCTGTCTCTGCAGTCTCTCGCGAAGAAAATTTACTTGTCAGTTCGAGGCGCGGTCACAAACGCGGGTTAGACTGGCCAGACCACGACGGGCGACGGACACTGGATGGGTCAACAAACATATGACTGTAAAATTTTCAAAATTGTACCCACTCGGAAAGCGATTCCCAGCCGTGTTCTTACAAAGTGCTTTCGGCGCTAAATTTTTAATTTGCCGACTGCATTCACGGTGGCCCCGCAGATTCAGATTTTTTTTCAGGTTCGAAATGGGTTTTATTTCTTGTCCTTTTTGCGTGGTTGTGGCTCATGGCAGTAAGCATGGCAGCCAGACCACCCCCTGCGGCCTAATGGGGCTCCACCATGGGCTGGAGGGGCAGGAGGGCGCTGCACGCCGACCTGGAGGCTGGTCGCCCCTCTCTTTCTCTCGCACTGCTCGTCCTGGAGGGGCGCGAGAGAGACAGAGCGACGTGCGGAATCGCTTGGGCTGGCGCCCCGGCACCGCAGCCGGTGTGGCTGGCTGGCTGGCTGGCTGGCGCCGGACAGACGAGGGGCGCATAGCACTGCGCCGTCGTCGCGTCGCCCGTCCACTCGTAAAATGTCCGTCAAGGACATGTCAGGCATGTAGTGGAGCGCCCGCTGGAACGCCCCACCGCAGCGAACCACACCACTGTAGGGCAGAAAAAACTGGGTCAGCCCGACAGGTGGCCAAGGCGAAGCCAAGGCGAAGTTGCTGAAGTCTCTTCTCGAAAAAAAGAAGTAAGGGGGAAGTTTGCGGGCAGGAAGGCCTCCCCGGTGGGCGGATAGAGTCCGGACCCCGCGGCGTTCTCGGAAGTTGACGCCTGCCGAAGGTTGCCGAAGGTTGCCGAAGGCCGAACAGGCAGCCGTTGTCTCTCGTGGACCACATTGCGTGCTGCGGGCTCAACTACTCTCACAAAATTCGCGCCACACGGTTTCAATTCGTGTTACTTTAGCCACTCGGCTGCCGAGGGATTGACTTTGTGATGTTCGGAGGAAGCGCTTCGGGAACACAAGTCACCCTTGTTCGTCGCGGGGCCCAGCGGGTCTGTGGGTGCCGCCCAGTGCCTCCCAGTGTGGGCCCCGCGGGAGAAAGGCGTGGCCTGCTGCCGTCTCGGCGTCTCGGCCCCGCTCGACTCGGACCGCGGCACCGCGGCGACGCCGATGGAGGGGGCTTTCCTCTATGGCCGCGCGCCCGCCCTGCCGCCCTGCCGACCCAGAGCCTCCGCTCCGTCTCTCTCGCACCGATGCGGCACGCCTCACGAGTGCGAGAGAGACACAGCGACGAGAACGACTCTCGGAACCAGTCTGCTGCTCGCTCCAAGGCCCGCGGGGGCAGAAAAAAAAAGAATCAGATAAATGTTTACACTGGGAACGTAACGGCGACGACTGCAGTGAATAAAGGTTCTGAAAAAAAAAAGGGCGGTTTGATAAACCAACGCGCTTGCGTACAGTGCATCAAAGTCGCCGTTGCAAATACCTTGCCAGAATCAGAGTGAATTTTACATTTGTGATTCCACGGCTCAAGTGTTTTAACCCGACCAGCGAGCGAGAAATGTCAGTATTTTCTTTGTGTCAGAAGTTTATGGAAAGCCCAATTTCAGACGTTCACCCAGACAAATTAAATTTTCACCACAATCCAGTTTTGTTTTTTTTTCGGCTGCATCGTTGAGGTGCGCCCCTGGTTCTTTGTATCAGGGGAGAAAGGGGGAGGTGGCGGCGCGGTGCCGCGGGGCGGGGAGGGGAGGGGAGGGGCGGGTGCGGGCGGTGGGCGTGGCGTGGCGCGCAGCCTCGCGGTCCAGCCAATGGGAGTGCGTCATGCGGGCGGAGACGGGCCGGGAGGGAAGGCACAGCAGCCCAGCTCGGGGCACAGCGACAGTTCCCGTCGAGCCTGCATCCCCGCGCCACGCAGCGTCCCCGTGCGCGCGCCCCCGTGTCCGCCCTCCGCCCCGACGCGCGCCTCGAGCCCGTCCTCGTCCTCGCCGAGCACCGCGTCATCGTGCCCAGTGTCCAGTGGCCTCTACCCGTCGACGCGGACCTGCGCGGCCGCCACCAGAGTCCGTCCTGCCGCCCCCCGGTCGTCGCGGGGCAGAGTTCGTCGCCGTCCTCGTGGCTTGAAGGGGGCCCTCGAAGGGCAGCAGCGCTGAGCAGCCCGTCCAAGGGCGAGTCGGAGGACGAGTCGGAGGACGAGTCGGAGGACGAGTCGGAGGACGAGTCGGAGGACGAGTCGGAGGACGAGGCGGAGGACGAGGCAAGGGCGGCGATGGCCTACGTTCCCGTGCCGCCGAGGCCGGTCGCCTTCCTGCACGCCAAGAACATGGGTGAGTTGGAGGCGTCGCTTTACGCGGCCATTGCTGGCGCTTCCAGCGACTTGAACGCGCGTCCGGGACGATCTCGACACTCCCCAACGTCCTCGTGCCGCTCGTGCCAGAATCGAACCGCGGACACGTTCTTTGAGATTTCCGATCGAGATAGCGGCGGTTTGTAGTGACTTGACCTGTTCCTGAGCGTTTGGCCCTGGCGTTGCAGGCGACGGCTCGCCCTACTGGGGCGGCACCGACGTGGGGCTACCCCCCATGGGGCCCATGGCGTCCATGGTGCCGGCCGGGCACTGCGGGCACACCGTCAGCCCCGCGCCCAGCAGCCTGACGCCGCCGCGCTCCGAGGACGACTACTACTACCACCCGCAGCCCTACGTGCACGTCCACGCCCACGTCCACGCGCACGTGCACGACCACGTCCACGACCACGTCCACGACCACGTCCACGGCCTCGACCACGTGCACGACCACGTGCACGACCACGGCCTGGAGCACGCGCACGGGCCGCAGCACCCGCCCGTCAACCAGCTCTACACGCCGCCCGTCTTCAAGTGAGTGTTCGCAGCTACGCTCTGTTCGGTGGCCCGGGTTCAAACACCACCCGATCCGGCCGAGATCGGAACTTTTATTTCCCCCATCCCCTTTGCTGCTGGTTGTTGCTTCTGGGGAGGAAGTATAACTGCGCTTGGTGTACGCAGACTGTAAATTTCTTAAATGTTTCGTGGGCGAAATTCTGTCAGTGCAATCGCTTAGAACGACGTCCAAATCTAGCGGCAGAGATCTGAAAGACCAGCAGCAGTCCCCAGTGGTAGGCGGTTGAAAAGACTATTGGCAAGTGTTTTGGACACACATGGTGTGTTCCAGCGAGGGCCAGCCTGTGATGCGTGTGGTTCGGCGCAGGAACACGGCCAACAAGAAGGAGAGGCGAAGGACGCAGAGCATCAACAACGCGTACGCCGACCTGCGGGACTGCATCCCCAACGTGCCCGTCGACACCAAGGTCAATTTCCAAACTTTAACTTTGTCAAGTTTTTGCTTTTTCCGGCCTCTGGAAAAATCCATTCATTCCAAATTTGACTTATGTTATCTTGTCTTTCTGCTGCAGCTGTCCAAGATCAAGACGCTGCGGCTGGCGGCGTCCTACATCGCGTACCTGGCCGGCATCCTGGAGAGCGGCGACACCTCGGCGGCGGGCCACGGCTTCCGGGCGGAGCTGCTGACGCAGGCGGGAGGGAGGCGGCCGGGGCGCAGGGGCGGCGACATGGTGAGGAAGCTGCTTCAATTTCGAGTCGGCGAGTTCGGCGTTCGAGAACTCGAACCGCATTCTCGAGACTTTTAACGCTAAATTTCACGTTCCCACGACTTGGCATATCCAACCACATTCTCATCCCTCCACGCGTGAAGCGAAGGGACTGTTGCAAACTGTTGTGGCGTTTGTTTTTGGGGGGCGGTGCAGAGTGCCTGCCTAAATAGAGCCATCATACTCCGCGCCTGGGGAGCGATAGTGGTGTCGGAGTGTCAGTGCACTGTGGTGTTGGCAACGCGTGCGCTGCGCGTGCCGCTGGGTTGGTGGCACTGCGTGGCACTGCCGCCTGACTCCGAAGGATCGTTTCGTCGCTCTGTCTCTCTCGCACCTTGTACGGGACGCCCCGTGAGTGCGAGAGAGACAGAGCGGCGCGACCCTCATCACGTAATAGGCGTCAAACAGCCCTCTGGGAGGGGGGAGGGAGCCCTTCGTCTGAGGGGTTGCGGTTTTATAGACAAAAAGCAGCAAGTGACTCCCCGCGCGCTCGGCGCACTCAATACAGGGTAATCGCCGAGCATAAAGAAGCCAACCCTCGCAAGGAAACGGTGTCGTTCGCTTCGCAAAGGTCACAGGTTCCCACGCGACAGGGTAGTAATGGAAAAATTTATGCAAATTTCATAGACCTCGAGCTGAAGAGACTGACGATGGAAATATGTGCCGGCCTTGGCAAGGCAAATCCTGCACACCGAGGTGTCCATGAATGTGGTGCGACTTTACCAGTGAGTGCGCGACTGCTTGGTGGGCTGGTGTCGTGTGTGGCGTCATCCTCATTGCGAAGACCCGTAATCATTGATTGGCTGTCTCTCTCTCTCTCTCGGCGTGCCAGGCGTGCCGCGGGGGTGCGAGAGAGACAGCGCGACGTCGTGCTGGGGGTCCGCGGTCCAGATGGCTAATGGGATTGGTGGCGTCGGGGAGCGCGCCGCGCGGAGGGCGAAAATTGGGGGAAAATAACGTCAACACCGCACACTAATCTGATCACTGCGGCGAGGCGATGGCGATCTCTCTCTCACCCGGACTTTCTCGCTTCCTCAGGTTGGCGGCTCTGTGGACTGCGGGGAGGGCGCCAAGTCCAAGGGCCGGACGGGCTGGCCAGAGCACGTGTGGGCCCTGGAGCTCAAGCAGGAGCAGGTGTGAGTCGACTCCAGCCGACGCGCGGCCGATCGACCGGCGGCCCGCAGCACCGGCAGCGCGCGGGACTGTCCCCGGAGCAGCCGGAGTGCCGGAGCCGGCCGGCCGCGCCGCGACGCAGGACCGCGGCGACCTCCTCTGCGCGATGCGCTCCTGGTCGGCCGCGCCGCCAGTGCGCACCAGCGGACAAACCCTGCATCGGCCCGGCACCTGGGCTGACCGCCCCAGCCACCGCCGCGACGACAGGCCTCCGCGGCCCAGCACCGGCCTGGCAGTGTGGAGGCACGGTGGAGGGGTGTGTGGAGGGGCGCCGCCGCCCGCGCGGCTGCAGCGGTGGACGCGGCGCGCGGCTCGGCACGGCACGGCACGGCCAGCCGACATCCTTCCGCTTGGCGGCGCGGAGCTCGGACAGAACATTTCAACGAGACGACGCACTTCGTAAGACATTCTCCAAAATACCGCAGTACTCCGTGTATTGGTCTTTTGAGCTTTACTGTAGGTCCTTCTCTTTTAATTCTGGTGTACATAGTTCCCCCCTTCGCGACTTCTTGAGTTCGATGCCAAAGTAAGTCCAAAGAACAACAGAAAAATGTTTGTACATTTGTCTAATGTAAGCTTTACTGTAATGCTGTGATTTCTGTTCGCGAGAATGGATGTTTAGATGTACGTGTGTGTTACTGTATTCTTGATGAAGCTTTGTTGCCAAAGTCTTGTCGCGTTTTGTTATAATTTCACAATTTTAACAAGAATTTATTTGTTTCTTCCTTTTAGTTTTTATTGAAAATGTGATACAGAACCGATTTTAGAACCGAGCCAGTTCGAGGTTTAGAAAAAACATGTGGCGATGATGAGCAATCCTTTATTATAATGATACAAAATAAATTACTTCAAAAATATTCTATGCCATTTTGATTTGTTATTCCTAGAAATCTGCGCCTCGAGATACGCAGGTCATCAGCCGATCTATTTGTACTTTTAACGCTCTATTTTAAATTTATTTTCGTTTTCTTCTTGACACGAAATTTGGGACTGCCGTAGAACCTATAGGGAGAACAGAACAATCAAAATAATGTCAACAGACCACATGGCCCAATTTGACCTGACTTTGACCACGCCGTTCTCCGTGCTCTGACGGCGTGCTGCTGCGTGCTGCTGCGCGGTGCTGCGCGGCTACTTCTTGAGCTGCTTGAGCTTGCGCACGGCCGTGATGGCGGGGACGTGGTCGGCCAGGGCGGGGGTGGACGTCAGCGACCGCGGCGGCGGCGGCTCCACCATGGACCGCCTGCGCGGGTCGGTGTCCAGGGTGTCGCGACGCGCCGACATCTCCTAACCAAGCCAAACATTTGAGTTGGAATTTGGTTAGCCCTCTCTGCACACGTGACGACACGTTGCAGCAAATCAAAACCAGAATCGAAATCTTTTTGAGCCTGCTGCACCTTACCCTGGCGCGCGCCGCGGCGGACAGTGGACACGTTTGCAGCCAGCGGTTGCATTTCTCCCGAGCAGCCTCGCGCACCGACCAGGGGATGGGCTCCTGGTCCAGCCAATGGGGCTTTTCCTGCGCGAAGCAGCACGCGTCCCAAATTCGAATACCGGCAAAGAAAATCAACAAAACGACTCTTGAGCGCTGTTCCGCAATGCCATACCTGTCTGAACGCGTGGAACCCCGGCGGCGAGCAGACGAACTCGTCGTAGCAGTCCAGCATGCGCCACAGGCCGGACTGCACGTCGGGCTCCCTGGCCTCCCTGCTCTCCCTGGCGTCCCTGCTGCCCCTGGTGTCCCTGTCGCGCCTGTCGCGGTGCGCGAGGGCGCCCGCGTCGGGCCGCGGCGAAGGGCGCGGCGTGCGCTGGGGGTCGGGGTCCGTCCACAAATCACGTAACAGCGCCGCCAGAGTCGGGTCCATCTGCGGGGAAGATCATACCGGCCTCATGGTTTTAGTTTGCCGCAATTTGTTGCCTTTGGAAAGACAGGTGGTGGTGGATTTTTAGCGGTGTGCAGCGTCTGCTGGCCGTTTGCGGGGTGTGGGGTGGCCGCGCTGGCCGCCATGCCCGCTTGGCCGCTTTGCTTACGTTAGGGTCCGCGTTGAGCGCCGAGGGCGGGCCTGGGCCGCGGTCCGAGGGCGTCCCGCTGCCCGAGCGAGGCGATCGAGAGCGTCCGGCCGGCGAGCCGCTCTGCGAACACGATCCGAGCCGGTCTCAAAGCTGCAGTCTCAGAGGCACTACGCGGGGCAGTCTGCGGTCACCTTCGACGAGAGGTCCAGGGAGGGCAGCCGGTCCTGCTCGGCGGCGGCCTTGGCACGCGACGACGCCCGGCTGGTGCGGCGCGTCGACGAGGCCGCCGACGACGAGGGCCTCCGCGGCACCGCAGCGGGCGGGACGACGGGCCGGACGCTGCTGCTGGCGCGGTGGTGGCGGCCGTGGCGCGGCAAGGGTGACTCCGCCGCGATGCTGCGACTGCGCGTGCTGCGCGGCCCCAGGGCCTTGCCGGCCTTCCCCGCCACCGCCACGCCCTCCTTGGCCGCCGCCACGCCCTGCTGCAGCAGGTGCTCGGCGGGCAGGCTGCAGCTGCGGCCCAGCGGGAGCACGCCGTGCGCCAGCAAGTCCAGCGGCTCGGCCGTCAGGCTGGTGCTCCGCTCCAGCAGCGACTTCCCCATCAGGTCGCGCACCTCCAGCACGGCCAGCTGGTGCACGGGGGAGAACAGGCACAGCCCGCGGAGGAACTGCGAGCGCCGCGACCCGGCGGCTGCAGGTCGGGCACGGGCTGGCTCTCCTCCGTCTGCAGCGGGTACAACAAGCATCTCGTTGGCACTCGCCCGCAAAACTCACTATGGGTACTTGCAAGCGCACACCTGCAGCGCGCCGTGGCTGTGGAACTCCTGGAACGGGTCCGTGATGTCGGACCATTGCTCGCTGCTCGAGTCGTCCCGGGGCTGGCCGTCCTGGCCGTCGTCCTCGCGGACGCCCTTGAGCGGGGCGCCGGCGGGCCGCGGCGCCGTCGCGGAGAGTCTGGCCGGCGGTGCGGCCCCGCCGCTGGCCTCGTCCTCTTCGTCGTCATCCTCGCCGCCCGCCAGGTCCAGCATCCTGGTCACCTGCTCCTCCTCCCACACCTCGTTGTTGCCGCTCGACTTGGACACGGCCGACATGGCGTCGCGGTGGTTCTACACGCTACACACTTTCCCTTTCGTTTTGCGTCTTGACGCGACGTTGATACACTGACACTGACACTCTCGTTTCCCTCGCACTCTCACTCGCTCGCACTCTCTCTGCCTCTCACTCTCGCACGCACGCGTCACCGCCGCACTGTTGCTGCAGTGTCGCACAGTGACGCTGCTGCGCGCGCCCGCCGCACTGCGACTCCGCCCGCGCCACTGGCGTGCCCGATGGGTTGCCTGCCCGCCGGCGCTCGCTCCCGGCCGAAGCCAACTTCGCCCTGATTGATTCCGTCACGCTGGAGGTTCGGAGACTCGGCCGCCCCGAAGTGACGGCGACGGCGGCGCGATTGAACGCGATGCGCTTCCGCCGCAAGTTCGGCGCACCCTTTACAGCTCAGTGGCTCTGGCCGCGGGCCGAGCCCAGCCTGTCCGCAGTGTTTGTAACTTGTTGTAGCGTCGCGTTTCCTTCCCGCCCCCAGCAGGACTGCCGCGCCGCGGGGGGCTGGTGCGCCCCGCCAGGCCGCCACCCAACGGCCCCGGGCCGGGCCGGGCAGGCCTTCCCGAACGAGCTGGTACCGGGCGGCACGGGGCGCTGGCGCGGCTAGCACGCCCCCGCAGCCCCACGCGAGGGGCGGGGGAGGTGCACGACGTGGCCTAGCCCAGCGCGGCGATTGAACTGCATCCCCCACGTCGATGCCGCGCTCTGACGCGCGCCGGAAGTCAAGCCCCACCTGCGGCCTGCACTAGTGGCCTAGTGGCCGTGGCGTGCGGCGGGCCGGGCTCTCTCTCTCTCTCTCTCTCTCTCTCTCTCTCTCTCTCTCTCTCCTCTCTCTCTCTCTCTCTCTCTCGCACTCGCGGGGCGTCCCGTCCAGGTGCGAGAGAGACAGACTGCAGCTGCTCGGGGCAGCGCGACCACAAAGCGTCTTATTTCTGGAGTTGACACAACGCGGCCAGTCGGCAACGAAAGTGTTTAAAAATTTCTTAAATTGTGTGCTTCTTTGGTTGTGTTTGGGTTTGACCAAATCAATAACTCGCGCAAATAAGCTTGCTCATTTTTATTCCTCAAGTCCCCGCACACGTGCGTGAATTTTCTCAAAAGCCAAGGATAAGAAAATATAATATATAATAATAATCAAATTGCAGTCTTAGAACGAAAATACCAAAAACAATCGACTTCATTAAAACGTAAACAGTCATTTCATTTATCATGAATTCAAGAATGTGACAGTTAATCTCAGTTCATTAGCTAATTCTAAGACAAGCGTAAGTCTCTAGTTGACATAGTAAACACTGCGGTCCTTTAAAAGTGACACTCAAGTTCAAAAGTGCAGCAAAATCGAACACCCAATTTATCCACGCAGAATTAAACAAGTTTATTATATTTAGAAATGCGAGAATCAAATGACTTTAGTCTTGAGTATCGACAGATCGACAGTATCTGGTTAGCCCTCGGGTTCCCGCGGGGCATTCCCTCTGGCGCCGTGCGGCTAGTAGGTGACGCTGTGCTTGTCGAGGAAGGCCTTGGAGGAGGCCACCAGCTCGCTGAGGCGCTCCTTGGTGGCGGCGCTGAGCCCCGACTCCTTGAGCTTGGCGGCGCACACCTCGGCCGTGGCCATGTAGTGCGCCATGTTGTGGAGCACGCGCACGTGGCGGTCGCCGGCCGTCAGCACCAGCTGCCCCGTCGAGTCGATGCGCACGCAGTTGATGGGTCCTGGGGGCCGAGAGACGCCGATGCCGTTAGTTAAATGAATTATTAGTGATACAGTGGTGGAAGGGGGAGACGAGCGTACCGCCGTAGAGGTCCTTGATGGTGGCCAGCAGCTTGCCCGAGCTGACCACGTAGAGGTGCAGGTCGCTGCCGGTGGTCACGGCGAAGGACTCCCCGTCGGGGGCCAGGGCCAGGTGGGACTTGGTGGCGGCGCCGGCCGCGGGGGCGTGCTTGCCGGATTGCAGCAGCCGCGGCTCCTCGCCCTTCTGGTACTCGACTGCAAGCAGAAAGCAGCGCCGCCCGGTCACGTCCCGAGGAGGAGACCCTGTCGATACCCCACGCGAGTCTCTCTCGCGCGGAGTAGAGACGAAAACGGCACGCGGTACGCACTCTTGGTGTTGAAGACTCGCCAGTTGCCGTCCTTGCTGATGGTCGCCATCCGGGAGGAGTCCGAGGAGAAGGCGAAGTCGAAGACCCCAGAGCTGTGGCCCTTGAGCTCGAAGGCGCGGACCACGCGGTCGAACTCGCCCGACTTGGTGAACACCACCTCCCACACCTTCACGTCGGGGGTGAAGCCTGCACAGACCAGGGAGTCGCTTGGTAACTCTGTCCGAGTCGAAACAGGTCGGCGGCCTTCCCTACCTGAGGCGGCGATGAAGTGTCCGCAGGGCGAGACCCTGGCGCGGTGGGTCTGCATGGTGAGGGTGTCCAGCGTGGCGAGGCGCTCGCCCTTCAGGTCCCACAGCACCAGGTCCGTCTTCTCCGAGCACGTCATGATGAAGCGGCCGTTGACGGCGATGTCCATCCCCACCACGTCGTCCGTGTGGGCCTGGCGGCAAAACGCGACAGTGTAAGTTGAAGAGAAAGCAGTCAAGTGTCCTGTCCACCCGCAACACCCCCCAGGCACCCACCTTGCCGAACGTGATGGCCTTGGAGGTGGAGCCGATCCATCCGTCCGCCTTCTTGACCACCTTGTGCACCTCCACGACGTTCTCCACGCCCTTGTGGATGATGAAGGCCTTGGAGTCGGGGCTCCACCGCACCATCGTGGCGTGGTCATACTCCACGTTCACGCGGAGGCTCTTGTTGTCCTTCTGGTCCAGGTGCTTCGAATTCCACAGCAACACAGTGCGGTCTGTGGGGGAAAAAAAAAGGGCTGTTGTGAGGAACCTTTTACTTGTTGCGGAATCGAGGTGTTCTACGAAATTCCGTAAACGAAATGTGCGCCCAGAAGCCAGAAGGTCCAATGTTAAGTGAAATTAACGAAACTCTGATTACAGCGAATCTTTAGCTCGAGGCACGATGAAGGGCACCATTACCACCACCTACTGTAAACTCCAGCTCAGCCTGTGCTGTGCAAATACTTCAAGAAGACTTTGTGTAATACGTCCTCAAATAGCTCCTTGATACAAGGGAGAATGCTTCTCAAGTTCTCGTTAATATTTCAATGAATTGTGTGGTGTTAGTAAGATGCTCCGGTGCTGCAAAATAAAGAACTGCGGAAAGTTTTATTTTCTTATTTATTTATTTTATTGACATTTTCACTCTATAAAACTACAAAATTAGTTTTACGACAACCAAGCCTAGGGGACCACAGTAAAAAAAAAAGGATTTAAAAAAATTACAGTTGATATGTAAATACCCACGGCTTTAAAGGAATGAAACAATAAAACTATTGCTTAGATTGTATCAGAAATGTGGCAAGATCTCACAGAGACCGTTGAGAAAGTGTGCACATGCACACAAAACCTACATACCATCATGAACAATGGAACCTTACCAGTAAGAAACTATTGCCTTAACCAATTTTTAACACAATCAATCCAACTTAAGTTATTATGTACAGCTAGACATCTCTTTACATTTCATATTAAAAACCCTTGTTCATGATAATATATAGGTTTTCTTTTGCTCTAAAATTTACAACATGAAAGTAGAAAAAAACAGCACATACAACATGAAATCACATTTTCACAAATGCACGCGTGCGTGCTACTACACACACATACACACATAATTTGTACCCTTTGTACAGAGGAATTCATTGACAATACTGAAACTTACCATCCTGCCACAACATTCACTAACCACTTTCACACAAGAATTAACAACTAACATGTAACTGGCAGTCTAAACAAACCACATATCCAGCATTCAAATCTAAACAAGTTCTTGAAAGTTTGAGGGTTGGCAGTCAAACTGCTCTCAAAGACTTAAGTGAAAACACCTTATGACACTCTACACTGCCCAAACTTCAAATTGAAAGAATGGTTTTTTAAGTAATCCAGCTGAGGAACACATCAAATTGTTTCCAAACGGACTATCAAAACGCACAATTTAAATTACGTATTTGAAGAGCACAACCATAACCTTGTGCCATACAAGGAAGAATTTTAACAACCAGCAAATGCTCTACCCAGAGTTACTGTAAACAGGATAGCATGGCCACATAAAAATGCAAGGGGAAAGGGAGCTCAATGTCAAGCATGTATCCACAAAAACTTTTACAGGATGATTATTTTACATGGCAAAGGTCTGCTGACAATTTTAAGTAAATGGAAGATATATTGAACCAATGGAAATGAGATCATGAACAGTAAACATTTTTCACAACCACAAATAATCTGATCTAAAATCTAAAATAGAGTGAGGGGGAGGAGGGAGAGAACTCCAGTGAAAGGTGCAGAGGCCTACACCAGCATTGATGGAACATTTGACCTGAAGTGGACCCTAAAAGTTTCAGTTAATACAAATTTTGTTTCATCATGAATCACTAAAATTTCATGATGTTATTCCTTGGACTAATAACAATGAACACATTTGCAACTTGTCATAAGTATGAACAAACTTGACAAACATTGGGAGAAATACAAACATCCTAAAACATCAAAAGCTACAAGTAGGAAAACAGTTACAAACTTTTACAAAAGGCCAAAACTACTACATCTAAGAAAGTTGTAAGTTAAGGATACGGGTCACCCTAATCTTACACCCAAATGAGAAAGACAACACTTAATTCTGACATCTAAATTTTTAATGTACTTTGCCATGAACACATAGCTAAAAAGTAAACCAAAGGAAATATCAATAATGTGAACTTTTGGAGAGGATGAAGACGTCACAAGTACAAATCAAAATCCTATCAGGATGATGTCCAGTAGTAAGACTCTAAGATCCTAAAAGAATATTCCTAAAAAAGGAGAGCAAGAGCTTTATTGCCATTTTCATAGAACAAAAGGGTGCCTAAGTGGTCTAGATTACCCATTTGAACAATAGTTTACCTTCTCATCACAAACAGTGACAAATGTTAGACAAAAATAAAATAAAATTGTGAACTGTGAGCAACTTGGTGTTGTAGCGCATAAGGATGTCGCTTAGTCAAACGATACACCAACCTCCTAACTAGGCATCATTGAGCAATTACTGATGGTCATCAATTAACGCTATGAGTCAGTTATTGATTCAGAACCTTCAAGACCTATCTAGTGCATTATCCTGCCTCCACACCCTCTCAATCCCAATGCAATTCATATCAAAACCCAGTCACATAGGAACATTAAAAAAAAGACAAAAAAAAAAAAAAACAAGGAAAATGACTAGCAAAATTTTCATAGCTACTTAAAATTAAAAAAACTACCTATGAACACTAAAATAAATATAACAGCACCATCAGTCACTCAGCATTCACACAACATTAACAGCGAGTAGAACTCTTTTGCAAACCATTCACAGGAGTAGGTTTAGAAAATTGCAGCAAAAGAGAAGAATTGCCAAAGTATAAAAGAAACAAGAATATAAACATAAATAAAGAAATTGGTCAGTCATATTCGATAGGAATGTTGAATTAGTCTTCAAAATTTTGTCCTACTAAACTTTATCAAAGCAAATTTTCTTTCCACATATTGAGCAGGTAATCAGACCATTCTTCTAGGCTCTTTTCCACATAAAGACACTTAAATAATAAGACTACGTATCCAGAAGTTTCAATTGTAGCACATTATCACTAAAAACAGTGACTTAAAGGAAAATTCAGAACTACGAGAAATTCTCTTAAGTGAACACAGGGTTAAGTCGATGTACAAGTAAGTATACATTAACTTAGTAAAGATGGAGAAGACAAGAAAAATATCAGTTATGGAGTACAATGGCAGGAGGCCATTTAAGTCACAAGGCAGGCTAGTTACAAATTTGTTACAAAAGGAAAAAAATCTACTAGACACTTACCAGTAGGGCATGAACACACAGGAAAAAATGCTCAGACTTCGAGCAGGGGACAAAATAACATTGACACATCAGGACTAAATTGAAGGAAACAAAATTAAGTATGGACAAAACAAAATGAAGAAAGAAGTTCACAAGTAAAAGAAGTAATAACACAAACTCATACAAGCAAATCACAGATTTTCACTCATGGCTTACTGCTTTTCTCCAAAAGATAAAACAAACTTGCACAAAAAAAATCTTACATTCAGCAGAAAAAGCGACACTACTTCCAATTCATAAAACACCTAATTAATGGCAGTAACAAAAAATCTGAGTCATACCTGATGACCATTGTTAATTAACAAAAAAAGATAAAAACACACAAGGTAGTGAAGGTAAAAGACAATACTCCTTATCTCAGAACTTGATCCAAGTGCAAGGCCTTTCAAATTTACAGTGCAGTAAGCCATGCCTCATATCAGTCTTGGTTGATTCTTTCTCCATGTAATTATTCACACAAACACACACTCGTTCAAACACACTACTTCTTGAGTATTCTTTGGAAAATGTTTCAAAGCATCAACTCCCATGTAATGAAGGGTCAGTTAACACTTTCACAATCACTGCACAATAAATGACAGAAGACAACCCAGCAGGATATTTTGGAGATTCAAAATGAAAATAAAAGTACTAGTCACATTATGAATAGTAGCTTTGTCCATCCAGAACAGACCGAAACTCTTTGCGAATCCTCCATAACATCAACTCTATACACGCACGAGCGTCTTCATAACTATCGTGTCCTGATGAATCACTCTGAATGTCTCTCTTGAGCAAGCAGTTTGCAAGAGATTTTAAGGAGCGTCTATAAGGAAGACCATAATAATGAGGAAAAACAACTGATGTGTCTATCACTGTTCCATGAATAATACGTAGAGCACGAAGATCATTCTCCAGGCCATGTCCAATGAGGATGGTATCGGCATTGATGAAGCCCATTAAGTCATTCTGAACATCTTTTAGAGATTTTGTGGCACCCTTTTTGTTCAGGTCTTTAGCAGTTATACCCGAAAAGCGGGTATTATAATCAATAATGTAGTGCTCAGGCTTAACCAGGCTATCATACACCAATCGACCGTCTGTGGCCACAACAGTAACTTTAATTAGCTCCAAGCCATTAGTTGTGAAACACATTTCACAGTCCAGAGCATAGATACCGTAGTTTCCATCTGGAGGAATTGTTTTCCTTGATCGAGTTCTGACAAAACCATCCAATGGTCCATTAATGCCATCATTGATGCCTTTCCAAACATGAAGTTTCCCTGTTGTGCAGCCTTTAGTATTGGAGCGGCCTTTACAACAACTGTAGTCGGCAACCCCAATGGAACTGACCTGAAGTTTACCCCAATGATACAAACACTTCTCTTGAGTCAAGTATTCTCCATCATTAGAGACAAAGAAACCTCTGCCACAGCGAACACACCACTTCTCATCACTTCCTCTGCTCAGTTCCTCTTGAGCTTTGCTCTTGACTGGGCTTGGCGTCACTTTGGGCTCATCCTTGAGCTTCACAAAGTCTTCAGACTTTGAGCTGTCACTATCACTGCTCCCATCCTTCCAAGATGCTCCATTGCCTACTAAACTAGAAGATACATAAATGTTTTCACTGAGTTCAGAGGCTTGGGGCACTTTGGAAGGTGACGGATACAAAAATGGGCTAGTGAACTTCGGAACAAACTCTTGAGCATTGACATCAAACAGATGAGACTGTTGGGTGGGCTGGTGGACTACTGGTTGCGATGGCCTGTTGGATGGAGTCTTGAAGATGATGGCACGGCCTGGGTACAACGTGCTCTCCACAGGAAATGACAGGCCCAGAAGTTGATCTGGACTCAAGACATAATGCAGGAAGAACTGTGCAAGCTCGTTGTCCGTAAGTTTCAGTTTAGCACGTTGACGCAGAGGAATGCTTTGAGCCTGCTTGCTGCTGCCATCACTGGTGCCATTGCTGGCACGTTTACCCTTGGCTTTATTTTTCTTCCCTGGAGACGCATTCTTTTTCTGCCTCCGGCTGCGTGCTGCTGCTCTTGGAGTCCCCCCGCCACCTGAATCAGGTGGACGCTTGTTTTCCTTGTTGCCTTCACTGCTGCTGCTATTTCCACTGCGGTCTCCTGGGCTGCCGTCTTCTGTGCTTGCAACCTCCAAATCTTCAAACAGAACAGAGAAAATAAAATTTTAAAAACAAATACTAATAATTATATTGAAATCCGAAGCATTCAGCAAGCATCATAGAATAAGTCTAGCTGTATAGTTGTTGAAAAACATGAATTAATAATGCAAGTTACTCTGTCTTCTTTGACAGGTGGTACCAGTCCCCCCACCCCTCCCACAAATCAGCATTCTGTGGCACACTAAGTACTACACATAGCATCTCAAAGCAACATTCAATGACAGCATTATTAAAAGAAAACAGGCTTTAGGAATAAATGGAAAAAGCAAGTGTGAAATAAATAAAACTACGTTCTCAGAGATTTGTAAAAAAAAAAAAAATAGCCCCAGAAACAAATAAACTAACCTTGCATCTATCTTCGATGGATATAGACAACTCCCCAATCCTCCAATATGCTCTTCTTGCTCTGTGGCTCTTCAAATTTCACACTTTCTAAATTGACTTACATATTTTTTCTTTTACAAATTGGTTGAATGTTTGGACAACCAAAGACAGCAAATAAATAACACTCCTACATTTAGAAAAAAAAAATATACAAAAAAAAGATCCTTTTTAAAATGAGTAATTTAATTATTACTTTGGAGAAAAAGATAACTGTGTGTGTGTAAATTGAAATTGCCAGAATAAGACAAAATAGTGCAGAATGCACCAAGACAAATAAAGACAGAAATGTGGAGAGCCTAAGAGATTGCATTTAAAGTGCATTTTACTGAACGGTGCACTGCTTAACTACTTGTTCTTCTCACTACTATCAGTGATCAAAATAGAATCTAGGTCACTAACTGCAAGGGGAGCCAATCTGTCAATCATTGGGTTAACCTCGAACTGCAGCCCTACATTGCATGCTTCAGCTACACACCCGCCCCCCTCGACACACAGCCAACAATGCATTGCCACCACCAAATCAGCATCTATGAATAGACTGGCAAGCTGAGTAAGAGGACTCTACAAAGAAACTTTGGAGGAGAAGAAAAGGGTGTGCTTCTCAACTTGTGATCATACCACAAACAGGACTTCGACATGGTGAAAAGGTTGTGACTTCACATCTAAACGAGACTTGAAAGAGTTTAACTCACCATCAGCACAGGTAGCCAAGAATTTCGAATTCCCAGAAAAATCCATGTCAAGAACTTCTCCAGTGTGGCCCTTCAAAGAAGTCAACATCCAAGGGTGGGTGAATGCCTTCGAGTCACGAGAAGCCCATTTCTCTTGTTTCTTCTTTGAAGCAGCTGGCTTGGCTGCTTGGTGGTGGTCGACCTTCTTCTCTTTCTTTTCTGGTTTCCCTGCAACAAACAAACCAGAAAATTAGTAGATGAATAACCACTTTTACAAGAACATGCAGAGAGTCAATCTACCAAAGGGGAATGTAAAACTAAAAACTGCAATACTGCAAGCATTTTGCAGCACAGTAGTTTAAAAAAATCTACAGAAAAACTTTTGAGGTGTGTTCTGAATCATAATGACATGATTTAAGATAAGATAAATACTGTCGTTGTGGTGACAGATAACTGAATGCAAAGAAAATTGATGAATACCAAATCTTAAGGCAGTTTCAGGAGGGTCGATTTTTCAACACCACCACTAAAAGCGACGTATTTTGAAAAATTATTATTTGACCAAAACCAAATGTGACAACTTATTAAGGGGGAAAATGGATATTTTAAAATTTAACTAGAAAGATTAATGACACAATAAGGGAAGGAAATCAAATCAAACAAAATCAAAGCAGACATCTGCCTTGAAGACATGCATGGTTCCGTTATCTTTCAAAACCCAAGAAATAATGTGGTTACAGGGGAAGTAACAAATTTCGTCGCGAATGCGCACTATCCTTTCGTCTAAAAATATATAGACGGCAAAAAGGAGGCAGACGACAAACAGCAGGGTTCTTTCTAGCAGGGCCTCCGGCAAACACTTGCAGGGGTACTCCAAGTAGGGTAGCAAACATGTCAAATACTACGGAAAAATGTCTAAGGGAATCACAAACGTTACTGGCAAACCAAGCCGCAATTCTCAAACTTTAGAGATCCGCTGCTGCGACCCGGGCCGTCCAATCTCCTCCACTCGACGGAGAGTGAGAGAGGGAAGCACGTAAGGCAGGCCTGGCGGGCCAGCGCGGCGTGTGTTTACCACACGCCTGGAGAGGTTAGGTCACCCTCGCCATGAGGTGCTTGGGGCACTGGGTGGCCTCCTCCATCACTCTGGAGCTTCATGGACGGCAGCTGGCGCCTCTCCTACACTGGGGAGCTTTACGTTACGGGGCGGGTCGAGGAACACGGGCAGGGTGCAGGGCGATGCAAGGGCCAGCCCTGGGCCAGCCCAGGCACTACGGGACCACAACGTGAGAGAGAGGAGAGGTACAACTCCAACTCATGGCTCTTACTTTGCACATTTTCTTCCTTCGTCGACCTCAATCGGTTTAGCAGCAGCGCCACCACAGCCAAGCACAGACCGATGACGGCTGTTTGTAAAACCAAATCGGCACTCATTTCCATAACTAGAGGTGCCGATTTGGAGCAGCGTTCGGGGGGTCACACTCACTCACTCACGTTCACACACACACACAAGTCACACACACACACACACACCGCACAAGGTGGTGGTGGTGGAAGCCGTGCCGAGCCGCGCGGTGCGGTACGGCGCGGAGGGGTGGCGGGGGCTCGGCGCGGTGTGGCGCGGGCCGTGCCGGGCGCGCTGGGCTTCGCGCTTGCGGTTGGGCAGTGGCGGTGGCGGGCCGGCCGAGCTTCGGGGAGGCCCCAGCGGTCTTCTGGAGGCTGAAGGCTGGAGGCTGGAGGCTGGCTGCCCAGGCCGGGTTCTAGGCTAGGCTCCAGGCGGCTGCACTGGGCCACTAGTCCAAGTCCAAGTGCGGCGGCTGGGGCAGGCCAGAGGGCAGGCGAGGGTGGCGGTGCGAGCGGGTGCTGCCGGCGGGGCGGTGCGCGGTGCCTCCTTGACGGCGCTGGCGTTCACTGCGCTGACGCGGCCCCGGAGTTGCTGCGCCTAGTACTCGCGTCTGATCCTGATAAGCCCCACGCTGCGAGGCGTACGGCGTTCGGCGAGACGAGCGACAACAACTTCCGCGGGGGGTCGGCGTCGGCGGGTCTGCGCGCACGCTGCGGACACGCTGCGGCTGCGGTGTCGTCTTCGCCACCTGGCCCCATTCCCCGGTCCAAGAGGACGACGGCGTGGTCCCGGTGGCCCTGGTCGCCGACAGTGTGGGCGCGCTAGCGGCCGCGGCGGTCCAGCCGCACATTTGCTGGCGCCCGGGAGGGGGTCGACGACGGCGACGTGCACGCTGGGTGCGGACGAGGGCGACGAGTATCCTGGCGGCGCGGCACGGCGGCAAGGCGGCACGGCGGCAAGGCGCGACACGGTGTGGACTCGAAGACAAGACGGCGGTAGACGCGGTAGACGCGGCACACGGGCGTGCGGTGCGTGCGTCGTGGCGTGGCAAGGCTCGCCGAGCGACTACTGGCTCGACTTGGCTCTGGCTCTTGGCTCGCCTCGCGGTGCCGTGTGCCGTGCGGTGCGGCCCCACCAGCCTCGCCTCGCCGCGCCGCGCCTTGCCGCCGTGCCTTGCCGCCTTGCCCCTACCCTCGCGGTGCCGCGGGACGCGGGCCGTCCGTCGGGCCTAAGCGACGCCAAGCCGCCAAGCCGCGCCAGTGACGCCCCACTCCCTGCTTACCGGTGAGGTTCCTCGTAGAGATGAGTCGCGTGCACATCCGCTGCAATGCGTCACTGCGTCACTGACTGCCTCCCGCGGGAAAAGAGGCAGCCATTCCGGGAAACGTCGCCGCCGAGCCGCGGAGCCGCCAAGAAGGCGCGAGCGCGACCCGTTCGGGGCGGGGCGGGGCTCGGGAGGAACCCGGGGCCGGGAGGCGCGGTGTTGCGCTGGGCTGCGTGGGCGGGGCCCGGGGCCCGGTCACCGCGCTGACGTGGTGCTTCTCCTGGGAACGCCGGCCGATCTGTGGAAGGAAAGACCGAGCGGACAGATTAGGAGGCGGCCTGCCCTGGCCTGCCCCTGCCAGAGTGCCTGATGGTTCTAATTGCCGGCAAAGCGAGGCAGAGGCCTAAAGGCACACGGGCCGGCCAAGTGGAGCGACCTCTTTGACCGGCCGGGCCGGACAGTGGCTCTGTCTCGCTCACGGCGCGTCCCCCAGGAGTGCGAGAGAGACAACACGCGCCGAGATGATCCGCCGCCAAGGCAGGGGTCACGCGGCGCGAAGCGCGAAGCCGGCCCGCGACAGGGAAGTCCCTGGGTCGACCGCCGGCAGCCTGGGTCGTCACTCTGTCTCTGTCGCACGCCTGGGGCGCACGGCCAGGGTGTGAGAGAGACAATCCTTCGGAACGAGGAGGCAGCTGACTAAAGTGCAGCGTCGCGGACCGCGGCCACCGGCGGCCACACTACACTGTCGGGATGCGGCGGTCGGTGACGACGACGACGACCGAGGCGCCCGAAGGGCATAAAGGGCTGCAGCGCCACGAGGCCTTCGAACCGAACGCGACTCCACAGAACATGCCCGCTTCCTTCTTTACGACCAGCGGCACCAGCAGCAGGAGGAGGGGGAGGAGCGTTGCACAACCTGACGAGATGCAGAGACAGCGACAGAGACAGTCTGGCGGTCGCTCGGAAAAACGAAGCGGCCGCTCCGTCCCGTTCCTCTTCCGCGACGCGACGCGACGCCACTGGGAAGACACTGAGACACTCAACGTGGGCGCCTCGGCCACACCGCGGGGCTTGCGCTTACAGGTTGCAAAGGTTTTAAACCCGAGCCGAACGGAGCGTCCTGATTGGTCACCGCCAATCACGGGGCTCGCTTTGAAACTGTCACAGCGGCCGGCTTCACGGGTTGCGGCGCGGACCAGGGAGCGGCAGACAACACAGCAGCCCCACGGAGGACGCCCGCGGGCACGTCAGGCACTCCGCGGCCAGCGGGGCGGCGGGGCGGCGCACTCCCACGCGCCTGGAGGCTCCTTACCAGTGGTGGGGCAGGGCGGCAGGGCGCGGGGGAAGGACCAGGCACGTCGAGCAGGGGCAGCACGGTGGAGCACTGGTGGGCACGGCAAAAGCACAGCAGTCACCAAAGCGCGGAGGGCGGGGCTGCGGGGCGCGGAACCCGACTGAGACGGCGGCCAGGCTGAGTCAGACTGGCGGGCATGGCGAAGAGGGGCTGCGAAGGCACAGCCAGGCGCAGCGCGCAGTAAGCCTAAGCGAGTCACAACACAGACGCGGCGTGGCCGGCACGGCAGGCCACGGCACGGCGGGCCGCGAGTACACACCGCAGCGCTGTACCGACGGCCGCGCCGGCCATGCCCGCCAAGCCCGCCAGGCCGCAGGCCGTGCCGCGCCTCGCCGCGAACCGCGCCGACGAGAGAGAGAGAGAGAGAGAGAGAGAGAGAGAGAGAGCGCCCGAATGTCTCACACCTCGTGACGAACGCCATATAGACGCCATTTCCACAATTTTTGACGTCTTTGTTGCCGATTGACTGCCTGTCAATCGTGTTACGTAATTAACGGACGACCCTTCGGGGGCTCCGCGGTCGGTGGGGCGAGTGCGTCGAGAGCTAAACCGCGTAACACGAATCGGTGTAACCAGGTGCCTGCCCCCGTTGCCGCGCCGAGCCGCCGCGTCCTGGCCAGGGCGAGGAGCAGGGGGCAGGATGGCTGCCAAAACGCGAGTAAACATTTTGTCACAGTTCAGCAACCTGCATGGCTGTACCAGCTGGGCGATAGGCCGTGCTGCCTGGGCACTCCTGGGTGGGTGCCGAGGCGCTGTGCGGCGCTCCGCGGCGCCGCGGTGGGCTGGGTCATGGTCCTCGCATCCCGCCCGCCATCCAGCGCGCCATCCAGCGCGGCGACCCGAGGACCCGACACGGCACTCACTCCGGCTGGCCGGCTACCTGCGTGTGCGTCAGCCGTCAGTGTGTTGGTGTTTGCGCTCTTGGGGGCCAGCCCGAACGGCCGGCGCGAACGGCCATCGCTCTGTCTCTCTCGCACTCACGGCGCGTCCCGTATGGGTGCGAGAGAGACAGAGCGACGAAAACGACTCGCAGTGTGCC